CCATTTTTCATACCCTGCCAGACCAGATATGCAAGTTTTGAACGGCTTGAACATCGATATTCAACCTGGAAAGTTCTGTGCCCTTGTCGGACCATCTGGCGCTGGTAAATCGACAATTATCTCATTGGTCGAACGATTGTACACACCACAATCTGGATCCATTATTATTGACGGCGTCGATGTAACCAAACACCGAGACGTTGCCTTCCGAGATTCCATTTCCTTGGTACCTCAAGAAAGTGTACTCTTCGAAGGAACGGTCGAGTTTAACATTGGATTCGGAGCCAGACCTGGTCACGAAGTCACCATGGACGAGATCATCGCCGCGTGTAAACTTGCCAATATCCACGATACCATCGCAGCCCTACCAGATGGGTATCAAACGCTCTGCGGAACAAACGGAAATCAATTCTCAGGAGGACAGAAACAGAGATTATCCATCGCTCGTGCGCTTGTTCGAAAACCTAAATTGTTGATTCTCGACGAATCTACTAGCGCTTTAGATGCCGAGTCGGAAAAGCTCTTGCAAGATGGATTGGAGAAGGCTGCGAGAGGAATCACAGTTATCGCTATTGCTCATCGTTTACGTACGATTAGAAAAGCGGATGTCATTTTCTTGGTGGATGCAGGAAGATGTACGGATCAGGGATCGCATGAAGAGTTGTTGGAGAGATCGGAAAGTTATAGGGCGAATGTCATGCATCAAACAGTAGTATAGAAAAAATGTTTCTGGGGGCGTAGAACTCGTATATATCCTGGGTATTCTTTTAACCATCTATAGAATTTAATAATATCAGACTCAAGTTGGTGTCCATTTTGGTTTTTCTTTTGACTATTTACAGTACCCAGCCGCTGGTCGACGGAACCTAAAACCCCTGCGACTTCCCGTCATCACCGCAGCGTTCATCGCAGAAACTGCATCAACCCGATACAGACTCAATAAACATTTATGTATAAATAGAGTACGCGTTTGAGAATGATACTTAAGCAACTCGTCAACAGTTTCAAAACATATTTCTGTATAGGGTAGCTTGGGCTAGACTAGGTCACACAAGAGCCCGTCGTGATATTAGTCTGGCCTGCATATGTCGTGAAAGAAAGCAATGAGTTTATAACGGATAACGCGCTTTAATGCAATTTGCCAAGACCTACTCACTCATTAGGGTATCGAATTGATTGCATATACTCTATTTATTTCCTCAGGTGAGTGTGAAGATTACAACGCAACAATGAACAAGTGGTAGTCTGTATGAATTACTGCCAATCGGAATACGCCCAAAGCAGGGGCTTGAACATGCTGAACAAGATCAGATGACAATGCGGAATGTGTATCCTGCAATTGTCTCGGTTTGGAAAGCGGCTGTAAGCCTGATACGACTGTATCTTTGCCCTGGATCGGTTCGGCATGTAAGCCTGAGACGGGACTACAGTACATTGTTTTTTCAATCTCTTCATCCACAAATGAGTGTTCAAGGTCTTAGGGCTGAAACGCGAAGCCAGAAGGAAGTAAAAATATGTGATACCATTAAGGTAGATAGGTCACGCGATGCGCCAGAAAAGAAGTAATCGAGGTTGTATCGCAAGGTGTATGCTCAAGGTACAGTGCACAAATCTGTGGCGAGGCTTAAGCCCACCATTCGGGCTAGATCCTACAAAGTTCATAGAAAGATGAATTATGTACCACGCGAGGCTGGCCGTTGACATGTTGATATGCAGCGCGGCTCAAAATTCTCTCATAAACAACGCAGAAAAATGGGTGAGACTTGACGAAAAGAAATAAGAGACTTCGATACACCACATCACTAAAAATGGCTCACGCAGCACAGTATGATAAGGCGAGGTCTCGAGTACCTCTCCTGCCATACCAACAACCGAGATATCGAGAATATCTACCTTGCCTTGCCCGAGTTCTCGGATCTTGAGTAACTAGATCCGAAGTCCTACTCCGGGATTGTGGGACAATCGGGAACTTTCAGCGGAAATATATCACACGTGATGAGTACAAGACTTCGATGCATGAAGACGAACTACTTGTCATGTACCTTAGTATCCTATCATGGGTCAACACTTAGATCTGTGATCTTTCAAAAGCATGGAAGAATATGTCGTACTGCTTTGCTTCTTCAAATATAGCTTCGATACTGGAGGAAGCGAAAGCGAAGGAGTCAAAATCGAGGGGAATGTTTTCCCCCACACCGCTTCTTCCACGACGGGTGTTTGCAGTAATGACGCTTCCAACCCTTTGGGAACGGAATTGACCCATTTGTTCTTTTGATAATCCGACGAACTTTATATGATGTACCAACCGAAAAACCAGAATCGCTTCATGCGGGAAGCCGCTTGTAAGTATCAGTTCATGTAGGTTCAGGGCCGGGAAATATAATCTATCATTTTTCTTCCCATCGATCAATACCGAGAAATAACAACAGAACGGAACGCATGAATAAGCATTGATAATTGTTTTTTAGAAATAACCTGTACTTTGATAAGTATTTATAATGCCTACTTCGTCTTCTGAGACAAATTTGACAATGCGATTTGTGATTAAAAGCATGCTTCGTGGCTGAAAATCAAGGCACCCCCCCCCTCTCTTGTCCAACCAGGCAAACTGCAAACTCTTGCAGATGACTTTCTCGAAAAAGAAAAGACAGCAAATGACCGGAGGTATTCTCAATCCTATCACAAACACCACGAAATGCGGGATTCAGAGGAATTTTCAACATGAGCAATCAACTCTCCCTCCTATAGATTTCGCTTGGAGGGGTAGAACCAAAAGAAACGTTTCTACATCGTAATTGCTAACAAGAGTTACGTATAGTATGGCGAAAGATATTTTGGCATGTACGAGCACAACAAATTCAGTCATCCCCGTTCATCCACCTTGCTCTAGTGCATTGGTGATACGACAACAGGTGCTGCACAACACGTTCGCAACTCCGAGAGCTGGGGTTGCCGTCCCATCATTATTTCTACAGCTGCAGGCATCTCTTTGAACCCGGCTCGCTCTAAGAATCGTTCACGAATTAATGCAGGAATTTCCGTATACGATTGTACCGCATACTGCATATCGTGCAGCTGCAACGCACACTATCGGGGAAATGAGAAGATAGGGATCTTTTTATTTCTTTTCATGGGTGAGGGGGGAAAAGCGTATGGGAGAAAGCGCGGAAGAAAGGCAGAGATTGAACAGCTAATAATGAATAACGAATAACGAACAACGAAACACCAACACAATAAAAACCCTTTCCCAAGACGTGTGTGTACTCGATGTTCCGGGGCTCACCCAGACGGTACAATAGTATATGAGACATACGATAGGCTTAGAGAGAGACCGATAGCTGCACTAACAAGACATTTGATAACGGCACCGAAGCACGATATAAAAATACGCCGTTCTCTTTCGCTATATCCCTCCGGTCGGGGAGTGGTGTGGACAGCCGTCTGCTGTAGGAGCTTGGTATAATGTATATGATGTATCCAAACCCATCCACATTCGGATCCAATATCTAACAACATTTGGAAAAGAGTCTAGGGAACTTTGAGATCAGAAATGCATATATGAGGAAAAAAATTGAAAGGAGAAGAGAACGAAAGAACAAAAATATAAAGTTCGTGACTGCAGGTGTGCATTTATGTACCCAGGATGCGTGAGCGATGTGTTTCTATTATTGTCTGTATGGATTTCATTCGCATTCTCCTTCCTTATCCTTCGAATTCAATCACCATCTCGCATATATCTTCATACATTATCTGTCGTAATAGCAGCAACACTTCCGGGTCAGACTGACATGCATTTGGTAAGTAAGGTTCTCAAAGCAAATGTAAAGACGCGGTTCTCATTGGAGCTGAATCCTTTGCATTGACTGATGTACAGGTACCGATCTCAGTATTGGATATGATCTCCCGCTCCGAATCATGCTTTGGGGGTTAATGGGGGGTAACGCAATTCCAAACAAAGAAGTCTTTTTTGATGTGACCAGCAATCGAGCCGTCTTTTTTAATAGATGCATTTATTACCTTGTTGTATCGGCTTGTTTTTCCCTTTCTTGCTTTGACCATTCGGAAGAAAGGATACATGATGTCTCTCACTCGTTTTCTTGGCTGGCATGAAGGAAGATAATTATATTTATTAAGACAATAAATATTATTAAACCCATTTTTTATGAAAAGGTTAATACTGAGGCTAAGAGAGAAAAGGGGGGGAGAGGAGAAGGGATTGATCAAAAAAGGAATCATGGAATGAATACATTTCTACTCATTCGATTCGTTCGATTCATTCAACTCATTCAACTCATGATCATCAAGGTCAACTAACTCATTCCTTGCCAGAATGATGACTACTACCGAGTACTGTACTCCCACCAGCCCCCACGCTATTACGATATCGGAAACTAATAATTCAGATAACAACCCCACCACTACCACCATCACCACCACCACCCGCTTACCTTCTCCATACATTATTTCCCCCCCATCTCACCATCTCACCATATCACCATATCACCATTACACCATTCCCTCGATTCGATCCAATTCAATTACCCTTTGGACGACACCACCACCACCACTTCTAATACCATCGTTATCACCCTTTTTCTCTTCTGCCTCACCATTCGATCGAACGAGACGCCACCACATCCCGCATCTCATATCACACTTGCTACTTACTATTCTACGCCCAATCCTCCAAGATTCAATCCAACCTCATCATAAGTTACAGCATATATACACCATTTCGACAGGCCGAGGCCGCCCATGCTAGTCACACCAAATCGCACACTGCATCGCGCATCTTGTACAGCTCAAAGATCCCAAATCTGTCATTGTCATTCAACCGGTACCCTAATTTACTACAATTACTTATTCTTCCAGCTTGTGCTCAGGTCCTTGCGCCAATCCTCAATACCCTCTTACTCTGGCTACGAAATATTCTTCCGCGAGACCGACTTTCCTATCTATGAAAACTGGTAATCGAGTGTAGTAAAAACGACGGCAGCGAAATGCTTTCAACTCCACTGACTCCTCCTTATGGAGATTCGGCCGATAACATTGAGAACGATTCATCCAATGGCCGTATGTTGACGGGCGAATCGGACTCTTCTTATACAAGTCAACCATTTGCGCTTGCAACTCCGACGAGTAATTCGAGTATGATGTTCAACGAATCTAGCGAAGAATATACACCAGGGGGTCGCTCCTTCTCCGAGGACATGATGGAAGAATCCGATCAGGATATGTCTGATGGAGGAGCGCCTTTGACAACAATACCATCGCATGCAGAAGAACTCACCACTGATATGGATCCAGGAGATTCTGAAAACACATACAATAATGATCCAGCAGGACTACACAATGACTCGCAGTCCCAATTCTTGGCCAACCCATCCTATCTCCAAAGTTTCTTGGAAGAAATCAATGTGCCATCGGAACTAGGAGGCAGCTTATACCCATTTGGAGCCTATATTTCTTTACCTTTACCTGAAGCCATTAATACCACCGATTTGCCAGCTGTGATGTCAGAGGTTTCGCAACAACTACAACACATTCAGGATGGGCAAGAGCATGGAGATTTTGAATCGACCCCTGATGAACATCATGATATGTTCATAAATTACAATCAGAGTACACCCCCTGCTTCATTTGTTCAAAATTGCCATGTGCAAGATCCTCTTAATCAAGAACTTGATGGTTCGTTAACGTGGTATGACCCCTCAGCTGGAGGGGCGCTTTTCACGTTAGCTACGTCACCTCAGGAAGACCGGGAATATGTTGATCAGGTTGTTGACCATGTCGCTCCCTATGAAACTGGTCTTGACATTAACTATGATGCTCACAACCTTTTTGAAACTGATGCTGACCAAGCTCTAGTTGACAGCCAATTTAACATGAATTTCGGCGATTTTCTTAACGACTGGGCGACATCTTTTGCTCGCAGAGGCACAAATAATTCGAAGCCTTCACAGGCCGCCATCACTGCTCATATACTTGCCGAAAATTTTGAGCCAATGCGGAGATGTGACCTTCAAGGAGAGGAATGTGACATTCAGAGAATTGATTGGACAGACTTGGGGGTGACACGATTGGAGGCTAGACAAAGACGCCGGGCCACTTACAAAAACTATACTAATCTTGTATACCCCAATCGCCCACAGCTTAATGTGAGTTTACTCGTGCTTATGGACTAGTTGTTGATCTGACCAGATTTAGCCCCGGCAACTACATGGTACAAGACTTAGAAATGTTGATAATTACTTCAAATTTCGGCAAATGGATTTTCAACATGACGTCTACATTCGACACTTTCAATTGCGCAACTTAATTACCTGCCCTTCACAAAACTGTGTGATCTACGCTGCAAAAACGAAGGTGTTGCATTATGACCCTACCATTGAATCGACTCCTCGCGTGTTAATGGATCTTGGCAATCCAAGAACGCAGTCATTTCATTCCTCCTTGAATGGATGTCAAGTATCCACTCTAACTAGTGGCCACGAGATCGTTGTTGCAGGTGGATTCGAGGGGCAATACGCATTGATTAGCACTAGGGCTCGAAAGGATGCGAAACATACTGAAGGCGTAATTACAGAGCACCCGAATGATATCACAAACCATGCCCAAGTTCATCTATCAAGGTCTTCCTCGCCTCTAGTTACCTTTGCTTCAAACGACTCTGGCATTAGAACTCTCGACGTCACAACCAATAAGTTTATTTCAGAGCATATGTATGATCATGCTATGAACTGCACAGCTGTATCACCCGATCGACGTCTACGTGTACTGGTCGGTGACACTCGAAAGGTTATGATCTGCAATTCCGAAACAGGGCAAACTTTACAAGAGCTTGAGGGTCATCTTGACTTTGGCTTCGCGTGTGATTGGTCTGAAGATGGATGGACGGTAGCGACTGGAAATCAAGACATGCAAGTTAAGATTTGGGATGCTCGATATTGGAATCGACCTGTAGCGAGTATTGCTGCAGATATGGCTGGTGTCAGGAAACTCAAGTTCTCTCCTTTGGGTTCTGGTAGGCCAATACTGGTCGCAGCGGAACCAGCTGACTATGTCAATATCATAAATGCCGAAACATTCGATAGTAAACAGACTCTCAGCTTCTTCGGAGAGGTTGGAGGCTTTGACTTTACTAACGATGGCCAAGAGCTGGTTGTTGCAAATTGTGACACCTTAAGGGGCGGGATAATCGAATATGAACGTTGCGATTTTGCTACCGAAGGTCTGTGTGGGAAGGATGAGCAACTGAGAAATATGATGGATGATGACGAAAGTAGATTTATGATGGCTGGGAGAAAACGAGATTATGGCACCAGCCATCTGGCTGAAGAACTTCTAGAGGAGTCACTAGCCCTTCGAGGTACTACGAAGCGCCGAGAGAGAAGAGCAGCTCTTCTAACCAACTTGGGATCATTTTAAGTATTCCTATACGCAGAAACATCTCGATTAAGGGATACTATCTGCATTGTGAAGGGGTATATTCCATGAGCCTAGGATAATGCCCCAAGTATTTATAGTTTGTTGATTGATCGTTCAATCTCTCTATATAATCCGATACCTATATTTCAATATATTCGATCCGCTACCGGTAGCTCAAAGTCAATGGCACTTTATTTCCTTTGTTGGCATCTCATTTCAACTATTCGGCATTATTTGGAGTCACGAATTCATCATCATCATCATCATCATCATCGTTGGTGCTTTGGCATATGGGATGAATGAATGGCATTTTAGGAAGGACTGCATTGGCATGAAATGAGAAATACCATTTGGGGACAAATTCAAATCTTCTAAGTTAGCGATGGAGTTTTGGGGGCGGGCTTAATTCCCGTTATTATTATTTTTCTTGGCGAAATTGTTTTTGGTTTGGTGGGAGGGATTTGGTATGGATCTCAAAGGATGAGATGGAACATGGAGAATGAATTCGAACGTGTAGGGAGCATTATAAGTTTGTCTATATTTTACTTCACTTCAATCTGTGGCATTTTTGCGCCAGTTGTTAGGCATTTTTTAATTCGGAAACTCAGGAGGGAAAAGATTCGATATGAGCTGGAATTTGATTTGAGATGTGTGAATGAGATTGTGGATCTTGTCGATAGGAAGGACTTGGGCATTGTGAAGTAGATGGAATATTTGAGGGGATGTTTGTGGTGTAGTGCGGATGGAATGGAATGGCATAGAACCATTCTGGTCTTCATCGGCATATTTGTCTCCACGGTAGCATGGAACCTTATATAGGAACTTCAGCAGCATGAATGAGTATACAAAAGTTATTGAGAATTAACTTATGTCTTACTGTGTTTGTTGAGCGGATTTATGTCTTGATATCTTGATTTGGGGTTTGTCTGTTGAGGGGGTAGATTGTCTTTCTGTGTTATGGTTGTGTCGAGAGGAGTTTTGGGGATTTGTGCATTGTATTTGTATAGGCTTGTCTTGTGTGTGTATTGGTTCTCCAGGAGGTAGGAGGTAGTACTTAGGTTAGTAGGCTAGTACGTAACCTTTACTATCGGGACATGAACCATGCGGGCGGCGGGCGCTAAGCCTTGAGGAGCTTTGTTTTTAGTATAGCATTTGCTTGGTAATTCTGGTGATGAAATATTGAATCTAACCTCGCATTCGCTTCGAAGATTTCAGAGTTATTATATATTAGACTTTACTAAGCAAGTGGGAATACATACAGAGTACAGCGATTGGTCACATCGCACTTGTATATAAATTCATCGCCACATTTTATTTCATTCTTGTATGGGATTGGAATTGATAGAGTGGGCGGGCTATATATCTACGTATAGAATCTACAGATTGATCATCTTCACGCCCTGAACGATGGAGCAAATACGAGGGTGAGGGGTTATGAGAGCGGGTAAGAGCTTGGCGTCCTGCCCCTGGCATGTATGCACCGCGGCTAAAACTTTAATTTAAGCTTATTTCTCCACGGCTTGCAGGGCTTACTCTGTCATATGTGGATTTTTGTGGGGCCTCGTCCTGGTATTGGTATTGGGACTGTCAGCTTCTTTGGGTTTGTGGAGTGGAGAGGAGGCGGTTAGGGGGGTAGGGGGATAGGGGTTTGTGTGACGTGAAGTTTAAGCTTAAGTCTGAGCTTGAGGTTGAGTGGGTGATCGCGCGTGGGAATCGAAGATGGAGGATCGCGGGATCGTGGGTTAGGTTCGGCGCTTAGCATGGAAGGTTGGAATGGAAGGTTTGAAGGTTGTGGATTTTTTTTATACGGGGTTTGTTGGTTTGCGCGTGAGAGTTGTGCTGTGGTGTGTGGTGTGTGGTTCTAGATCTATTGTTTTCTGATGGTTTGATTGTGGGGTCTTTTTGGTGGACTTAGGGTGTTGAGCTGGAAATTCTTGTGGAATGTTGGGAAAATCTCGAGTTTAGCAACTCCGTGAATATCTTAGGGTTTTGGCTGTTTATCCTCCTGCTTTTTCTCTATTGAAGTTGATTGATTGTATGTTCCAATTTTAGAGATATAACATAATCCTTCTTTGTCTAGTCGTCGCCCCCAAAGTTGGGCGAAGCATCGAAGCCTCGAAGCATCGAGATTTCTAAAGGAATATGATCACCTTGGCGTAATACACTATGTACAATGCCAAGTGAGTAAATCAATTCTGTACGAGAAATGTTGAGCATCGTGCCAAAAGTTACTGTCAAGAATTGTCAAAGAAAGCCAAGCGCAAGATGGACTATGAATAGTTTTTACATGAAGATTGATCCTCAGATTGATGGTGACTAGAGAGATCAAAAATCTATATAAACTCAGTTTCCATCACGCATCAAAACTATCTCTTCATCACACAATTACACAATCATTCAATCATCTCATTCAACCATACAATTAACTCAATCACCTCAACCTAAACTATCCAACAAATCCACCGCAATCATGCAATTCACTGCCATTATCATTTCCTCCATCCTCGCTCTTGCCACCAACGTCAACGCCTGGTCCGAGAATGCCGATACTAAAGTCTGGACTGCAAACAACAACTACACGACCATCCGAGGCTGTAAGTATTCCCATACCCATCTTATCCGATCCAATCGTGTCAGTTGTATATCGAACTAACTCTACTTCTTAGCTGTTGTCCACGAAGCTTGCACCGAGATGAACACGGAGAATATTCGTGCCGGCGGAGCTGATTGCGCTTACTGGACTAATGGTGTGGGAGGAATTCTGAATGGAAGTACGTTCTATCTATATTTTCCCTTTCTTTTTCATATGAGAATGAGATTGGGAATGAGTCAGAGATCATGGATTCGTACTAACACAATGATATAGAGTGCAATTATCAAGGAAACTCGGTTCTTTGCATCAGTGGTTGTTAGAGGATGTGAGGAGATGCGCCGTGGTGTGATAGACTGGTTGTCTGGGTTTTGAGGGCTTTTCGCCCTTTAGATGTTTCGTTCTCTTCGGTTCCGTGTCTGTTATTATAGGTCTCATTTCGGTATATAGTTCAATAGAATAGAGTGGCCACTCGTTCCTTGGATCCATCGATGCGGTTTTATATGTTTTTGTGATTTTATTTTCTTCTTCGCGAGGTTGATCGATTTGCTTTTCTTGCGTTGTAGTGTACTAGTGGAGTTATTCTGTACTTTGAAGTTATCACATTCGACTTGTTATACTTTTTTCTTTATTGAGTTTAATATCCCTAACCATTCTAGTCGTGCTTTCGTTCTACTCCCTTTAGCTCGCTCCTGTTACTAGAATATATTTTTCTCTTACTGTCTTCTGCAGTTTCATAATTCTTGACTCCTGGGTAGGTAAATCATTTCAAAAGAGTATTAAAGTTCTAGCTTCTTGGAATAAGCGATAGAAACTTACAATGTATGAATCTCTTTTCATATTCACCAAGGATGAATGTGGGAAAGTATTTAGGGGGGACTAAGGGGCTAATTTTTAGCCGATATATTCACTAGCCAGAAACTTTCGAATGCTATCGTGATTAACAGGGTTACTCTTCTCTTAATTGATGTGATCTATACTAGACTCTACTAATAAAACTAGTATATTCACTAGTCAAAACTGTGATCTCTTTTGCAATACACAAAGTGGTGATAGTCTACAGACACTTTGAATCGTTCCCAGCATATGTTCTTTTTCCAGCTCCTAGGTTATCAAGATATCTTTCAGAATTTGAACAATTCATCATACGAGATAGCCTCGTATCGAAGGATCTTGTATCGTTTGACTACAGCTTGTTGAAGTGATAACACTACGCCGAACAAATAAGCACGACACGATGACATCATCAACCATTTTCGATATTCAGAAAGAAAAGAAACCCTCGAGTATCTCGAGTGAACCCCCCCCCCCCCCAACGGTCTAAAGAAATCAGAATACGGTGGCGATAGTTCCAACCCATCGAGACCGAAGAAGATAAAAATGCGATACTCGAAGTCAATTTTCTTGACCACGATCTAGGATTTCCCCATCCATCTGAAATCGAAGTTAGCGAAGTAGATTGAGAGATCCCCATGCGGGAGTTGGTGATAGCAGCAAAGCTTATAAATGCAATCATGGGTTCAGAATCTGCAGATGTAAGACTGAATAAATCGGCTACACATGGATTATGGATACGATAGAATTGTGGTATTTGAATTTAGAAGGCTAAATAAGATTTTCCGAAGTCCCTATGCAGTTTGATTACTAGGAAACTTTTCTAGAATACTCGCACTATTCGCCATGTTCAAACCAATGAAACATTTTGAACCTCTTGAATCAAAATATCTTTCAAGAAATAAGAGATTGTATATTTTATTATCATCGGCATGGCCAAATTATAGGAAACACCGACATGACATATTAGAAAAAAAACTTCACAAGATATGATTACTCAGACTTGTGAGAAGTCGCCAGACTTTACAGACAGTGAATATTTCTACTTTTCCACCGGCCCAGTCTCTCCCCCCTTGCGAAACTCTCGGGTGCCGCCGCGTTCCTTCCTTCCTTCCTATTCTACTTCCTCAAGTTCATCGAAAACCAATTCCATAATTTCAGAACAAAGCAAGACCACACGTACTTAATTCTCTACCCCCAAATCCCATGGAAAAACCGTATCATCCGTCCACACGCCTCCTTTTGGTTTCCACTGGTAGACGCGTTAGTACATATTGCCGCTAGAAAAGCCAGAATCGAGAGAGAAAAAAAGGTGAGAAGTCATATCAAGAAACTTCTTCGAATACATCAATCAACCAATCAATCGATTAAAAAATCCCAAGATATAAAACCAAGTTCCGAAACCCAAGGAACATATCACAGTCTTATCCAGCAAATCCCTACCCTCCAAGGTCCACAAGAAACACAATAAAATTCAACAAAACAAAATCAAACTCACCATAGCATACTGTTCCTGCGGTAAACACTTATGACATAATTCCTGCCACTCCTCACTCATGTTCTCCTTGGTTCCATAAATACAATATTTAAGTAAGGGTCTCCAACCATGTTTCTCGAGTAGGAATCTTGCTCCTTCTCTTCCTGCTTCGCTCCAGCATCTTGTATCGTTAGTTTTATTTTTCGGAAATGAGAGTTTAGGTGATAGGCAGAAATAAAATAAAACCGAAAAAGAAAAGACATAAAAGTATATATTTGGAGAAAAGGAATATCTTTGCAGAAGAGGTTGACAAAGAGGTTTGAAATCGAGATATAAAATCAGGTAAATAGAAAAGACTGTAAGATTGAAAAAACTATCCACATACTCCAGATTGAATTCTTTAGCTTTTTCCTCTCCAAATTGCATCAAGAGACTTGCTACGCCTTGACGACGGTAGGAAGGATGCGTAGCTAGGATATTGAGGACTATTCGATGATTAGCTCTTTTTATTTCTCACATAATCTTCTCCCCCCCCCAAAATATACAACATAAAAAGAATCAACCTACTCACACACCCCCTCCTCATCCAACTCATCCTCGGCCTAAACGCCTGCGCCAACACAAAATTCGCAAACTCCCTCCCTTCTTCCTCCGGCGATCACTCCGCCTCAATCTTCGGCACCGGACTCGGAAAAATATTTTTCTCATTTACCAGCCAATTCGCCGCGCCGACAACTTCTTTAGTTTCACTATCCTGAACAGTGATCCAGTGACTGCCCGGTGTATGTGTATAATTGTTCTAAAACCAGTCTTGGGAGAGGGTGAGCGCGGTGGGGAGATCCGGGGCGGAGGGTGTTTGGATGGCGACGAAGGGGCGGTAGGGTGTGCGGTTGGCTTTTTGGATGAGTAGGGCTATGGTGTGGAATTTTGGGCGGGTGTGCGCTCCGGTTAGGGTGAAGGGTGGCATTTTTGGGGATGGGGGTGTGGAGGATAGGAGTAAGAGAGATTGTACTATTGTAGTGAATTGGGATGTGAGTACTCAATTTATCTCTTGTAATACTTGAGCGGGAATTCTCGAGATTCAGAAAGATATAATTTTTACATCTTATATCCTATATCTAATATCCCACACCTCGACCACGTCACAATTGTTTGCAACAGTTGCTACCCGCAGTTGGTTGGTTGGTCTGACACGCATCGCAAATTACAATTTCCTACAATTATATCTCAAAACGGAAATTCCTTATCTATCACCACGATATCGAACTTATAGCTTCCTGATTTGGATACTTATGACAAGAAAACATGTTGGGGATACGTATATCGTGAGGAAACTGATATCAGTTGTTAGGATATTTCTTTCGGAAATGCGGGAGAGGGGTGGGAATTTAATTTGGAAGAAATTTGTCGTGTGGATTTGCTTTGTATGTAAGTTATATAGAAATGGAATACTATGTTGTTTTGGTTCTCGGATCTTGAGTATGATAAGCAAACTTGCAGTTGTAAAAGAAGAAGTCTTCAGGTCAGCTCAAAAAAACCTCACTATCCATTCATCCCTCCACATCATCGAGCAATTCCAGGTCAAAATGTCCGATTGAAAAGCCAGACGACCCAACAACCATCAGATCAAAAGCAAGTCCCCCTAACAAACCATGACCGATCCCGACATCGTAGACTTCGATGGCCCGAATAATCCCGCAAATCCACTAAACTGGAGTCCTCGTTACAAATGGACCATGGTTGCAATTCTTTCCATGATGAACCTAATGGTGTACGTCTCAACCGTAAAATTTCCCTCACCTTCTCCTCACTAACTCCTCCAGCAATCTAGGGACCATTATCGTGGCACCTGCGGCACCGCAAATCCTAGCAGACTTTCATGAAAGCAGCGGTCTATACTCTACCATCTTAGTTTCCATCTGGGAGCTAGGCGAAATTCTCGCGCCTCTGATAATCGTGCCTCTCGCGGAGCTTTATGGGAAGCTGATTATATACGATATAGCCAACGTCCTCTTCATAATCCTCTCGATTGGAGGAGCGACCAGTACTAATATCGACATGCTCATTGCGTTCCGATGTTTAAGTGGTTTGATGGTTGCGTCTACAACGCTCAATGATGGCACTACGAGCGACATGTTTCCTCCAGAGCAGCGTGGAGGTGCTATACCACTTATCAGTCTTTGTCCACTACTGGGTATCATCGCTGGACCAATCATCGGAGGATATCTCACAGCGGCAGCGGGATGGCGCTGGACATTTTGGATCATCACGATTGCAACCGGCGTTGTGCAAATAGGATTTTTGTTCCTGAGAGAAACATACAAAGTAACGATTCTCCAGAAGAAGACGAACCGATTAAGAAAGGAAACAGGAAACATGGCACTCCGATCTAAATACGCGAGTGATCTTTCTGGAAGCGAGGTCTTTCGAACGGCAGCTTTAAGACCTGTAAAAATGCTTCTCTTCTCTCCCATAATTCTGATTATGTCTCTGTATTCGGCTGTTATCTATGGATGGCTATATCTAGTAATGGCAACTCTAACCGAAGTATTCGAGTCCCAGTTTCAAGTATCACAAGGATCCGTCGGGCTCATCTTCATCGGTATAGGAATCGACAAGCTAACTGCCGTCATCAGCTACCACCCTCCTCTTCGACAAATAATCCACCCAGGCCGCAGGCGGGAGAGACCAAACCCGAACACAGACTCCCTGTTGTGGTACTCGGTGGTATAACTCTCCCCATCTGTTTTTCATCTACGGATGGACCGCTGAAAAAAACATTCAATACATCGTAAAAAAAAATTGATATTCAAAGACTATAAAAATCCTAGGACTCTTCATGATTAAATTCTATTTTATTTTACGGCAAATTACTCTCATGCCCCTTAGATTCTATAGGAGGAGGGTAGATTCTATAAGTAAAGTACTATTTTTTCTTTGAATTTTGTTTTCATTTTTTTTTTATGTTATTATAAACTAGGATCTATATGAAATCTGAGAGGTATGAGAGTAAAGCAAGTGTGATTTTTAGGGCATGAGAGTAATTTGCTGTTTATTTTATTGAGATTCAGTAGTAAATGTTACGGTAACATACTAAAGCATGTCGGTAGAGGTCAAATAAACTAGAATAAGAAAGCTAAAGAGGAAAGAGATCCCTAAGGGATATCTTTATCTCTTGTATAATGACAATCGCTTAATACAAGCTAGTCTTGAACTAAGATTAGTGTGATGAGTAATCACATTGTCATGAGAAATTCGTCACAGTGAACAAATCATAAAAAATACGAATAATATATATTATTAATAAATCAAGTTGTTTATCAATAATTAATAGGACTTCAACATTGTCATATACAAAATAGAAATCTGTATGAAGATTTCTATTGAGTTCTTTTCGTCGCTAATATTGATTCTGTTGCCACTGGGAAGTTGATGGGAGATGGGAAGTTAAAGGTCCGATATTAAATTAGAAGCTGGAGGATAGCAAATACTCATCAAGCTCGATTAAAAACGTCCAGCCTGACTAGCCTTCTAGAACTAAGATCCTTCGACTAAAGTGAAGATTTTCTCGTACGCTCAACAGTAGGGTATCAAACGTAAATTAATAATAAAATTGAACGTCTACAGTAAGTGGTATACAAAAAAGCTGCCTTTGAAAAAAGAAGGTAACTATCTCCTTCAGGAAGTGACAACTGTTGAGACCTTCGAGACCTTCGCATGATCAGCAGCTCAAGCACTCTGATAAAGTTCCCTATCGACTGACCAGAGGGTCAATCCCCATGAACCACCACGATAATGCTGCGTCTTGAACTCGACTCCGAAATTGTGACAGTCCAAGCCACCCAAGATGCGTTTGAACCAACCGTTTGTACCATCTCCTGCCCAAAAGTTCGACACTTGAGCGCCAATAATGATACGACCAGGGAGGTCATATATAACTTTTTCATATTGGCATTCGGGCAGACCGTTCCATTTGCTTTCAATATGCCATTGTTGATCATGTGTAGTGATCTCTGATCGAATCGATTCGGGAACATCTGAAGGGCATAAACCAATTTTCCATAATTTATTATGACATGCTTTGTTCCAGTGGAACCTGTGTATTTCATTAGCATATGCGGTTAAGCATGGACTTCATGTTCGGTAGGCGACAAACTTACCATCCCCAGTCGTTAGCTGTCAAATTAAGAGACCTCCATGTATTCAGAAGCATGAGCCTATCATGCCATATTGTTACAAGTTGTACTTGGACACATTGTAATCTGGCAACGCTCGCTGCCGTTTGTGCAGGTGGAAGTACAAGCCAAGATTGTACATCACACACTCTCAAGTTTTGATTGACTACTTCTTCGACGGCCGCGCGAGCCTTGATCATACCATGCGTCTGAGCCGTCAATTGGAGGGCGAATATCAGTTCCGAAGCTGCCTCGAATCCACGGGGAATAATGTGTGTAGTGGTTGGTCGCGGTAAAGGAATGTTCAGATCAATGTACGGTGTCATCAGTGCTAGATATGGCGTTGGCTTAAAGTATTCGAGAAAGTCTACCCAGGCGGCTTGAAGGTCAATGGTAGACAAGCGAGAGCTCATATTTTCCGAATCTACTCCAACTAAACATATCTGATGGCGCTCCTTGATACTCTTGCTTGTCATTGTATGGCCGATTTCGACTTTTGTGGTGGCGCTGAAGGAGAACTTGGGAGTCTTGAAGCTAGCCGATACTCCAGCGACGTATTGATCAAGATCTTCCTTGCTCTCGGAACTGTATGTTGATACAGCGAAGAAGGAAGACCGTCGTCTTTGCCCAGTAATGCAGTATTGGCCATATTTTTCTTGAAATGTTTTGCCGAAGGTTTCGTCGCCTCGGGTTGCTTGCTCCAAGAAGTTTGAAGCCTCAGGTAGAGGTACCATCTGATCTTGGTACAGATCTGGTGGTAAGGTGACAGTGGCATGTAAAATGACAGTTGCGTTGTTCGAATCACACTTTGCAGACTTCAAGCAGTCGAGAGATAGCTGCATAGATGCGACGGGTAAGCCTGAAGCCAGTACTCGCGTAGAGCTTGAGATGTATTTCTGTAGACTCTCCTGGTCACGAATGAGTTGTCTGTCTATACTAATAGAAGCGCCTGCTCTCGATCTTTCGGGGTTCGCGTCGCTTGAGAGACATCTGAAAGGAGATCGCACGGTCTGGAAGTTCTGAATGTCGAAACCAGCTCCGATTCTCATGTGGTCACTGAACCAAGGGATCGCACCACGTTCGTAAAGAAGGTTTGAGTTGGACGACTCCATGATTGACCACCGTTGATCGGAAGATCACAAGGTGAGTCAAGAGAACTTATAGAAAGTGGCTCGACTGAGCTGCTCACTAGAGTGGGTGCTACATGCCGATCCATACCCAATGGGCACGTAGACCACTAGTACTATTGTTCGCAATTCGCAATTCGCAGTTCGCAGTTCACAGTTCGCAGTTTGCAATTCGCGACTCACGATTTAAAAATCCATGTTTTATTTCAAAAATCGGTCAGCACACTCCACGCTAGGTGATCTGTAGCTCAAGCCATCCACCTATGGTCTCCCCCAGGGAAAGTTTTGGACATTTTCGATTGTAACAGAGTGCAGATTATGGTTTAAACCAATCAAATCAAATCACACATGCGTAAACATACAGTTGTATATCATTATAGTTTAATATACCGTATTATCTCAACAAATTGAATCAGAGTAGAGGTTTCATCTTGAGTGATCTTCGTCGCCTTACCTAAGAGTCAGCGGAAAGTTACTCCCAAATCAGAGCCAGTGTCCCAGAATGCGCCAGCTTGATTAGAGTTCATTGACAAGGCTACAGTTAGCTACAGTACATTCTTGCCTTAATCTGGCTTTTGACCGGGGGACTTTTAGTTCGTTTCAAAAAGTCTATTTCAGATATTCCTATTCGCGGGAATCGGCAAAATAACCAGAGGCTTTGATTTTGACTTAAAAATCGCAATATTTGCCCCAGGTCTCCCTGATTCTGGCTATGTTAGTAAAGTCTAGTGAGGATACTCTGTTGTCACTCCCTATTCACCAATCCATTTTAGCTTGCTCATTTGCTTTCTGCATGCCTGGGAAGCACTACTGAATCCTGGAAGTGAAGTTCGCTCGGTGTCTCAGAGTTCGAATGACTGTAGCAGAACATTGAAGTGAACAGTAAATAGGTGCATATAGAAAATGATCTTGAAATTTGTCTTCATATACGGTCTCGCCGACCCGATACATCATCCAGATTGCGAATTCATAGATTCGAATTTCGCAAAAGAGACCACAGTCCCCCTTCAAGATAATTGATGTGATCTTGACGCAAAGTGTCATTTTCAAGTCTCTCTTGGACATTCTGGACATTCTTGTGACAGCGTTTTATAGCCCACCAGTAAAGATTACAGTATACTCCATGAAAGCCAGCAGCAACACAGCACATGAACCCTACAATATAAAATTTCTGTGGGAAATGAGAGCTATATCCCATTATCGAAACGAATGCGCTATACGGAACAATATCAGCTGCAGCTTTGAAAATCACAGTTGAAGAAATAAACCCACGTTACAAGGAACCCCGCACTGCCATTAAAAGCTCTCTTGTAAGCTCTGGGTAGCATTTGGTCAAGCGTACATTCTAACATGTCGAGATTAGATTGCGTGTGGCTGAGAGTGACATAGTCCTTTGTCCTCTGTCTACGTAATCTTTCGTTGCTAGCAGTAGTATCTATGAAACGATAAGAATTGCTATACTGTACCAATTATATGCACTCGGATTTATTAATGATAATATACCTAGAGCGGTTTCGCTTAAATCTCCGTCATTGTTGTTTACAACAAATGATCTATTATGTGAATTAGCCATTATCAACGACTGAGCTGAGTTCCATCTTACTCTCGGGCCTTGAAGTACTCCATCAGGTAGTATTTTGCTATGCATCGTCGTGGTTCGCAATCTTCATCGGGTTGCTCATTCTCGAATGACGATGTCGAATTAGTCTCAGGGCCTTGAGGTATATGTCCTCTGCTAGAAGAATCTGGATGTAGCAAGCTACTGCTAGCATCAGTGAATTTATGGGACATTGAGAGTCGTACTGTGGTAATGTTCTAAGAAAAGGATTGATGGAGATTTGTCAAAGATGAAAGGAAAGATGGATAGAAGTAGCATTTAAAAGCTCAAAGGTTGGGTTCGGGTATGACATGGTCCGTGCTTAACCAACGCTAACATAGATTAGTGAACTGCGAAGCGCGACAGTGCCAAATGTGGACGAACTGCGAACGAGCTGCGAATGAACTGCGAACGAAGGGTGGATGGCGTCTTTTTGGTAGTGACAAAATTCAACGTTTTAGTGCAGATCGCTAGTCTTAAGTACAGATTGCTATTTTTAAGAATAGATTACTAGTTTTAGGTATGGATCACATGATTATATAATCGCACAATCGTACAATCCAGTGGGCTACAGGGTTATTTGAATAACAATTCAATAAAAAGAAAAATAATTAAAATAATAATAATAACCTAGTCTATAGGGATTTTCAATCCTATAAACCAATCAAATGTCTGGTTTTCGAAGCGATTGTACGATCTGCACTTAAAACTAGCAATCTGCATTAAGAAGTTGAATTTTGTTCCTATTTATCCCAAAAAGACTCCACAGGGTGAGCGAACTGTGAACTGCGAATTAGGATAACTATGAACTGCGAATTAAGATAGCCTCAATGAGGTTGATGAGGCACCCTAGTAGAACTCTCACAACGTCAAGGTTTTGTATCAAGCATATTTCGTGGACATAAAACCGCTCGTTCCCTCGTTCCAACGGACGTGTCTTGCCAATCAAACTTTCTTTCTCTCATCATCTTCGCTATAAAATCACTCTAGATATTCATTTTTCCCAAGCTGTTCATTACACTATGTCGAATAAAAATCTTCAAGTCAAATTGGTCTTTTGGCAAAGCGATCAACACAGAACACCTATTACTGATACGTCTCCTGCTACTCTCAGGAATTCCATAATAAGACTATGGACGCCTCGAATACAGTCCTGGATCTTCGAAGGATTCGCTTTGATCCTAGATTCTGTCAATGGACACCTCCAAATATGTGTACGTCTCGCTTAACCTGTTCTCTTCTATTTCCAGCAATGATGCTAAACCTCGCGTTGCAGCTCACAATCCGACACATGGAACTCGGAACCAATGACGAAGGGGTAGAGAACGCCATCTCAGCTTTGTGCCAATACATTTTCCTAGATAGTTCGGTGACGGCGCTAGATACCATCCTGACCAACAACAACCTCATCATGGGACCGTTCTCAGAGACCACCATGACAGCCACTGATCGCATCTTTGGACGCTCTTACTCTTTCGAGAACCTCAAGCAACTCGGAGGCTTCGAGGCCCTTATGCAGAAAGCTGCTCAGAGACCCGGCCCCGGCATACTCCGCAATCCTACCAAGTGGATCCATGCTCCGTAAGTGTTTCTCTCTCACAAACCCTGTTAATATCTTGGATTAATAATACTCTAACAGTTTGTACGCTGGACTTTGTGTTACACACCTTCTCACGTTTCTCGACTATCCGCTTGAGATGTTCACCGACCACGTGAATACACAGGCTGAGTCGGATGATGAACAAGATCAAGAGCTACTAAACATTGTACGGCATATAGCGAATTTCGCGAGGGTCCTCACATCGATGGCTCCGAAAGCACGTGGCCAGGTGCAAGCTTTTCAAGAGACTCCGAAGCACAAGGTTTTACTAACAGCAACACAGATCGAAAAGCAACTTGCTATGTTGGACTCCACCAAAAAAAAGGCACTTTTAAAAGAGAAAGCAATGAATCTTGGAAGTGGAGTCATGTTACTTGAGGAAATTGTGGGAAGACTAGGTAAGATATTTCTTTGTATTGCTCCAGAAACCATGCAAAGGCTAATGCGATATTGTCAGCGGGTGATTCAGGGGGCCGCAACCCAGATGTTCTGGAGACTCGCCAGCTTTGCAGCATCGTAACCAGAATGATGTGTGCTAACGAATCTCTACACGATGCGGCCCTCATATACCACGACAGCTGCGTGGCCGACAAAACGAAGAATGCTGCTTTCACTGTAGGTAGCCTCGGCGTGCTTGCAGTTTCGGGTGGTCTATTGGCGTTCCCGCCCGCTGGTGCAGCGGTTGCTCTTGTATCCTTCACTGGGTTTTGTGGTAGCTTGATCTCCACTGGTATTTTTGCGCAAAATACGGTTGTCAGTGGAAAAGCTTTGCATAGGAGCCGGAACCGTGAGTAGAGCTACCCTGTGCTACAATCCATTTACAGTTGATCGCTGACAATAAACAGTCAAGCCTGTGATGCGTCGGATCTACCTCTCACTCACGTCTTGTCGGCTTTTCCTTCTTCTGATACTGTCCAGAGTCCTGCCATGCCTAGATCGTGGGTCTGATCAGTATCAACAGTTCAGATCCATGTTCGGCACAAAATTAGACATTGAAATGGACCTGTTAGATAAACCTGGATATCTGTTTGACAATGTTGAACTCATGGTAAATCATATCACTGACGCCTTTGGACAACTTCAACACGAGATCATCCAATAAAATTGCAATCAATTCAGGAGCCTGATTTTATCACAGTTGAGGAGTTTTTGGTAATAACATCACCAGTGAAGAAGAGAATTGGGATATTATACATCGATTTTTTTAGGATTAAAAATTGCAACGGTTTGATGAAAGTTTATGAGTGGAAGGATTGTGTTGCGGGAAAGATGACTAGAAGTATTGATACAGAATATGGAGGAGTTTAGGATGTGTTGATTTTGCAGCTATTAGGAAAGAGGAAATTGCGATAGATCTCTTTATATTCATTGCGCATAATAGCAAGAAGGTTTTAATATCATCCTTGCCAGCATTTCAAGATGCGAGAGAACGAGACCTTCAAATAAAAGAATAAATTGTTTGGAAAGGGAAGAAAAGTTCGTAAGGAAGCTATCATTTTGTGTACACTAGTGCCATTCTTAGCGCTCCGGTTGAGCATATCTTCATTCCTTTAATTCCTCACATAACGCCTCATCATAGTCGGATGTGCGTGATGCAAGTGCCGTTCATATATCACCCAGGTCTGGTGACTGAACACTGTCCTTTTAGCTGGCTCCTACTTCCTTATCGTACTTGACTCTTGCTTCTCCAAGAAGAAAGTTAGACCGGCTTAGCTCCATGCCTGGATCATCGAGGTGTTTTGCAAGCTATAAAGATTTCTTTCAGTGGGGTTCACTATGTCGGAGGAGGAATCCAGAACCTACCCGCATACGGACCGTCCAATTTCCCCTTTTCGATTTTTCTGTCGCCGCAGTCGTGTTTGTTAAGAAATGAATCTCGAAAGGAAACTTCTCCTTGACATGATCGTCAAGATATTTGAATGCAGTCTTTGCGGCTTGGATGTATTCGGGACCTCTCACGCAAGCCTGGCGGAAGCACATCTGTTAGAAGGCAGTCCTTCTGTGAATAGGAAGGGGAATTGAACAACTCACAGCAGATGCATGGGAGAGAAATATTGCGTGATATAATGGCCACAAATCTGTTAGCGTGCCAGCTAGAACATCATCGATAGCAGCATTGATCATTGCTATTGCGTTATCGTTATGTCTTTGATAAGCAGTTTGATACTCTTCGCGAACATGATTGTGGAGTTTAAAATTTCTCAAAGCATCAGCAGCACCGCAAGCATAGTAGGCTTCCCGGATCATGGGGTACTGTTAGAGAGAGAGGTACTATCAGTCTTATGAATCCTGATCTTTGGGGTGAACTCACGCTTAAGGCCATCTGTGGAGCATCCCGCCCAAAAAAGTTCGAAATTTTCCTGGCCATCAGGTTGGTTACCTTTTTCGCGTCGAGAAATGCTTGCTCACTTCCCCAAAGATTTAGTAGCCGCCTGTGAATTTGTGCGATAATCCTATCCTTGAGAATTATATTAGAGGGTTCCATGCTATACAGAAGATGGACGGCTTCTGGAGCAGGTCTTCGTGACACAGCTCTCTGATCATCTTGTATACCAATGCCTTCATCTGCGGTGGTATTTGGTAATTGCCTGGTATTCTCTAATTGGTTATCATTGCTCGCGAACCAATTCTGGAGAAGAATGTTTGAATCAAGACTCAGGTAGACTTTGTTTGCTCCTGCAACTGTGTCAATATGATGTGGTAATTGCCAGGTATCCTCTAGTTGGTTATCATAGTCCATAAGTGAGTCCTGAGGGATAACATCTGAATCAGGACTCGGGTAGAAGTTGTGTGTGAGAAATTCATCGTGATATGATTGAGAGGGAGACTGGTTATGGTTGCTAGGAGTCAGAGGAAGTGTTTGGTGATTGGGAGACCTGGGCCTCCGGTTCTTTATACGAGACGAGACTTCCTTAGGATTGCAGCTGCGATCATATTTAATACAGCGCAAACACCTCGGCTCTCCTTCTTCAACCTCGCACTGTAGTAGATCAGCCTCTATCAAGCATTGATCTGCAGAGAGGACATACCTTCTTCTTATCATGACGACATTTTGCACACTTCAAGCACGTTGATTGCTTTTGTGGGCCGCTTGCTTTCGAGTACATTTGGTGCTTGTTTTGAAATGTTCAGATAACAATTGTCATTAATGGATTGAATGAAGAAGCAAGATAGAGAATATTTCTGATTGATGTTATAATCGTAAATGTTGTTCTCATGCTGCTCGCGAAGAAGTACATATATACACAGAGCTGCTCGCATATGCTGCTCCCTGAATTGTCTTGGCTCAAAAGTTCACCGAACCTTGGCAAGGATATATGTCGAGGAAAATGGCTTGCGCAAGTTGCGTGGTTGTAAATCTCCACTAGCGGTGTAGTCATGCTCTGTGGTAATTTTAGATATTTGCCATGGTAATGTTGGTTGTGGTTTAGACCATTCACATCGATTTAAAGACTAGAGTCGCATTTGTGATATTGTGGTATGGTAATGTCGTGATTCGTGACTCAAAAATTGATGCAAAAGCTTTCATTCCCCTTCTATCCCTTCACAGCCTCCCCTCCCCCTCTCCCCATGAAAGGTTTCACCATTTAGTGACGTAGAGGCTGACATGGGCAAGCGTCACGCGAGGAATATCAAATATTGACATCTCGAGGATTGAACTTGCCGTCGATCTAGATGCGGCTGTAAGCATGCACTGCGCGACGATTCAGTTTTTTGATACATTCCCGCAAGTTTAGGCCGCCATTTCAGGGTTTAGGAAACCCTGTTTTCCCCATGAGGTCTTGCTACTACAGGGTTTGTGATTCTGGTGCACAGGTTATCTCTAGTGCACAGGTTATCGCTCTAAAACTGAAGACCAGCCCCCACAATGGCTTGGACAAGCATATCCAATGGATCGAATGAAAAGCTATTCTTTCAATAGAATCTCGAGATTTTTACTCGTCAAAACCAACCTCAAATTTACCCTTCCCCTCCTTCCTCTCATGCAGCCGCAGAACCAATGAAGAAGTAAAACACAGAATCCATGTATGATAATTCCCATTTCCATCACTTGGCAGCTTGCAGGAGCTGGAGGGATGTCCGAAAGTTTAATCATCCGGTGATCTGGGGGTGAGGGGCTCTAGCACGGTAGTCTGGAATTGACTAGATAAATTCTGTAGATCGCTTTCGGTGTTGGAGACCCATCTGAAACCCTGCTAGTATCGAACGACCAATATAGATCAATATCTCATGTAACCATACTTTCAAAGAACACTATGTTGCAGCCCTGAGATCTCTCATACAAAATGTTGTCATCGATTGTACCCTGCGTAGAACACATAGACTATTACCCAAGCATTAAAAGAATAGGATCTAGAGAATATATATAGATATAATAGAATCATCGATATCAGATATTAAATATCTTCTTCTGAGCACAAAGATCACAAAAATAACAAAAAGCTATCGGTACTTCTCTATTCAAAATCTGATGGAAAAGTAGGAGCGACCCAATGATACAGCAGATACCTCCATCCTCCTCTCTGAAACTATTTTCGAATCGCAGTTCCCGTCTGATATTGTTCATCTCTACGCTAACTAAGATTTCCAAGTCAAATCCAGCCTTTCTTTCCATTAGATCTAGAGGAGGAGAGGGGAGGGAGGGAGGTATTCCATACGCCAGAACATCCCGCGAGTATCCACCTACCTATACTACTCCCACATAACTTTCTACTTGCACATCGAGAATCTGAAAGTTGACAAGCATAAGCACCCATACCTACGGAATCTTTAGAATCTAAAGCACTTACTAAAATGGTTACCCTGCCCTGTGCAGATCAGACCGAGTAAGTGATACACCGATCAAATCCACCTCGAAATCCCTGGAAGATAGTATACACCCTACCTATCCTTTACCCAACTCACAGCCACAGCCACAAGCACAAGCAAGACAACCAGGCTGCAAGCCAACTACTCACTCCGAGCACCCGTCCCATCCCACACAAAACAACAAACACATCATGCCACTTCCCAATCTGCCGCACAACAAGGCAGACTAGCAAATCTCTCTATCTCGCACTCTCTCATCCATCCATTTCACTATCTCACCACTAAGCTGCAAACCCCTCAGGAAAAAGAAGAAGAAATGTCACAAATGTAATGCTCAATCTGTAGAGTTACTACTAGATAGGTATCCAAGAAGCTAACTTTAAATTGCGGAGCGAGTAAATACATACATACATACACACACATATATACGCCAACCACACTAGACAAAAAACAAAACAAAAATATTGCATATACATCTAGCCATCCCATGCAATCCCAGCTTGTCTCAAATACCTAACCAGAAATCTTCAAGGCATCATAGATCAAAACAGACCACATCCATCCATCCATCCAGCCTCAAGTACCCCTCCTCAAGTACCCATCCTCAACAATCCTCAACCATTCAATCCCCCTCCTCCCCCTCCCCCCCCTCCCCCCACAAAAAAAAAGAGAAAAGTAAAAAAGAAAAACCAAAAAAGAAAAACCAAAAAAAGAGAAAAGAAGGGCCAACCAAGTATTTAGAAAAAATCGCCGCCTAGCTACATTGATAGGATGGGTATCTGTACGTCATACAGGCTACTAGCCAGTGCTACCAACTCAACACTTCTTTATCTCATCAAGAAGGGAAATGGGAACTCACACACATATAGATGGGACATCTGCCCATCATTTTACCTCCCAAAAATCAATCATCAAGTCATAAATCATATGATTTCATTATATTGAGTGGCAACAGAACTATCACTAGGTACCTATCTTTTACCCATCTGCTCCTCCCTTCATCAAATTCAATCATTTCCCGATTACTCAATCCATCACTATCTTATCCCATTTCAAATCTCGCCCCCATCTCACTCGCTCGGCTAAGCCCCTGGTGATAACGTCTCCTCTTATAATTCTCTCCTTCATACATGTGCCATTTGGCCGAATACCGCTCCCTAACATCTCCCTTCCCACTCCCCAAAAAACCATGCTTGCCCCTGCTCCCCAGACTATGCTCCTTCCTCCTCGTTCAAATGCAAAGACCATCACTGCTATGTAAAGGAATACGCACACAAAGATATTTCTTTTTTCCTCGAAGCATGATAAGATAAAAAGATGAAACCAAAAAACGCCATTCATTAACAAAATACCCCGCCTCGCATGCAACGTATCAAACGCGAAAAAAAAGCAAGGCATTTTGCCCAATCCATTCAAATCTTATCCTGCGAGATCTATATCACGCCTTTCTATATCGATAGCTATGTCCGCAACCAACAGTCTATCTCTGCTGATACAGTCCGTACCACATTGCTCGCGTTAATTTCTAGACTCGGCTTCTTTCAATGTTTCAACCAATAATTATTAGACATCAGAACTAATTGGCGTGGCCGCAAAGCTTTTTGCTTTCCCTCTCCAAAGTCGGGGCTTTCCTATCGCTCTTCACATTATCACACACTCCTTTTCATCTTTCCCCGGTTTATCGACTGCCGAAGCACTTTTCTTAATCTTGGCCGCATTTCTGGGTGGGGCAACTTCCATCGGTGTACCTCCCGATGCTGCCGCTCGGATTTTGGCAAGTCGGTGCTTCGCGCGCTCATCGCCAGATTCGGCAGCTTTCACGTACCAAACATTAGCTTCCAGCGGATCGCGTCGGCAACCAATACCCATCTCTGTGAAATATCCTATAGCATACTCTGCCTTGAGAAGACCTATAATATGATTAGTTTGAGATTGATAAATGAATAATATAGAACACATACCCATGTCAGCAGCTCTTCGTGCCCACTCATATGCTTCATTCTCATCTTTTTCGAGTACCGGTTCAGCACCAATCAAATACCAAGCACACAACGCCATCATAGCTTCGGGATTACCAGCCTCCGCGGATCCGTTATAGAAGTGCACACTTAAAGCGGGATCTCGAGGACATGAAAGTTTTCCATGTTCATATGCCTGGCCTAGTTTGAAAGAAGCATCGGCGTTTCCTAACTCTGCAGCTTGGGTAAAGAGTTCAGCCGCATAGGCTTCATCCTTGAAAAGATCTTCTCCGTAGCCATTCTCGTACAATACTCCCAGGTGATACGGCGCAGAATTGTACTGCGCATCGGCCGATTCGGTGGCTCGTTTCAGCCACTTAAGGCCCTCCTTATATCGATCAAAGCCAAGGTCACCAGAGAGACAAGCTCGACCAAGACGAGTCATTGCACCAGGATGGTTTTTAGCTGCCGCTGCTCGATAGAATTGCACTGCTTTTGCAGCATCAGCTCTACAGCCCCACCCAAATTCATAACACAACGCAGCTCGGTAACCAGACTCAGCATGGCCGTGCTTGCTTGCTGAAACGAATAATGAAAAGGCTGTATGGTGATCTGGTTTTCCTTTATTAAACAGCCCAGAGGAAAACCCGTCAGCTAAATAATATTGTGCGAATGGATACCCTCGGTCGGCTAGCTTTTGTAGAATGCTCTTGGCTTCGCGCAGTAGGTTTTGTGGAGTGGCAGGTTCACTCTCTATATAAGGGCTATTGCGACCAGGTTTCGGGCTAGCTTTTCGTGGAGTGTCTTCTTCTACGTTTAAACCAGCCTCTTGAGCCGCTTGTATTAAAAATATAGCGAAAGAATATTGTATCTCTGAACTACTCGATTTCTTGGCATTTTGCCGATACATCTCCAATGTCTTCTGTGCACTTAATAGTGACGCATTTGATCCTACAACTGTCCTCAGCTGTGAATTGTCTAGTGAAATTGGACCCGGTGCATGCTGTCTCGTGTAGGGCATGTTAGCAAGGTCGATATACGACATTGGCCTATCATGAGACCTCCCGAGTTAGCGGATCCCGTACGCCAAGTTGGTGAGTTAGGGCCATTGCCAGGTGAGCGAGTTCTACCACCCAGATCAGAATACGCAGATAATGGTCTCTGACTTGAATTATTAGAAGAATGTCTGGCATATGAATTAGGGGTTAAGTGGCGATTTGTCGAGGATCCTGCTTCCATGAAATCGGTTGAACCTGTGCCAATAGGCATAGAAGCTCGATGATTTGGAGTCGTTGTAGTCTGGTGGTAATATTGCAGTTGAGGCACTGGTTGCTCAGGTGGTGCATCAGCTTCATTTTCATCGATTCGTTCGGGAATTCCATTTCCAAATCGACTTGAGTAGGCTGCCGAGGTCTCTGATGAGGTTCTTGAAGCTGACGATGATTCCCCAGACATCCTCAGTTCTGACTGCTGAGGAGGATCTATAAGAGTCGTGGGCGGCGGCGGTGCTGTTCGGTAGGGCATTTCAGTAGTAACAGGTAGAAACAATGCTGCCTGTTGAAAACTCTCATTTTCATGTGTTTTACGTGATTCCTCTTCGTTCCCGATCTGCGACTGACGAGACTGCCGTTGGATATTGAGTTTAGTGGGAGTCATTGGTGATCCTTGTATTCTTCCAGCGGGAGGTGACGGTGGTACTGACTTTCGCCCAGTATTGTTTTCTTTCGAATTTTCACCGTCAAAATATCCTGCAGGTGATACTTTGGTGGAAGCTTTGGTGAAGCCTTCTCGACCAGGGGGGGTTGCAACTTGGGCTGGCATGGTCAAGTTCCGTATTGCTCGACCTTTGACCCGCTGTTCGACACTTCTCCACCCAAACTCCGCTGGAAGAGGTTAGGTGATGCTTTTTGATATATCTCCGTACTTTCCGGATATCAAGAAGTTGCGCTGCAATAGTAAGATCAGTCGGTACCGAGGTGGGAGGGGAAAGGTGCGATGGATGGCGAGCGAGAGTTTATTCGATGCAGGTATTTCTCAGGTACGTGTGTAATCGCAAATGTTGGAGATGCAAGGCAAACGAGTGTGGTAGATCGAGGGCTTTAAAAAAAAGGGAAGGGTTTGGTCTAAGTAAAAGGTGAATCAGTATTGAGTAAGATGGTATCCTCGATCTCCATATGGAGATTATTTGAATGTACAATGTAAGATCTTACCGGTGCTACCTGCACAAAACTTGTATGATGAAATGATCAAATTTTGTAATCTCCCTTTAGAGTCCCAAAGGAAAGTGATTTGATTTGAACACAAAGAAGAATGAATGTCTCCGTGGCGGTAACCTTACTATTCTTGTTGGTTTCGGAGCATCAAAGGGCAAGTGAATAATATTTTAGGATGACACCCCTGTCGCAACCCTAGGATTTACTTATGCCCCCCGCGAGTACGATGTGTGAAGGTAGTATTTGGCGGGTTGATATACGAAGTACAGGTAGAGGCGCGGCTGATACTCTAGATGTCTTTCACACAAGAAGTGGGTTTTTGGATTGAGTTTCGCGTGATGGGAGAGAGGAATGAAGATGCAATGTGCAGGAATGCTGTTGTCGCACGTCAGAATTGGAAACTCTCTCTCAACAGACTCGACCCTTCTCTCTCGGCCTCGGAAATCACAAGTACCCGTCAGTACAGGATTAGGTATGAGATGACGCTTGCGGTGCCACTATTGTTGGACTTGACATTCGAATTCTTATACTAAAGTCCAATCTTCAATCTCCACAAAAGAGTGATTGACAATTGTGATAATTATTATTGACACTGATGGCCCCCGCTGTGCATATCAATCGACTTGATAATTTGATTGAGTTTGTCTCCGTGCTCTGTAAAGTTCGTACTTATTACTTAGATAGGCAGGGACCGAAAAGTTTCAAAGCGCACCTAGCTCTCCCCAGCGAGGTATTACGTTGCTGGAGCCCATCTGATGCGATTTTAGTTTACAGTAGTCAATTACTGCTTGTCACTGGTTCTCACTGGTTCTCACTGGAAATCTCCACTTTCCTCCAAATAGTTGCCTAGGAGTCATTATTCCCTACCTGGTCCCTTGCGATGTCTGTCTGGTCCGTATGGATAATTGAAAAGGGAAGAGAAAAGAAAGGAAAGAAAGGTAGCAGAGGCGGTTAAGCGTCACAAAAGGAGTTGAGCTGCGGGGAAACGTCCTTCCTTCCAATCCCATTCTAGCACAGAGTACATACAGAGCACATACAGAGCACATGAAAAGTCGACCAGATCCTAGCTCCCTAGTCAAGAGATGGATAGTTTCGTTGGCTCGCTTTGAAACCTTTCCTAATAGGTACCCAAGATGTCGGTTTGGAAGATCCGGGGTTTCTGGTGTATTCCGACGAGTTACCAGTGACCGACCGCTGGGCAGTTGGCACTTTTCTGACAGACGTCAATCACTTGCTACTGTGTGTAGGTATGTATGTATGTGTGTATGTGTGTGTTTATGTTATGTGTTAGGTTGTGTGTTAGGTTGTGCGTTCATGTTATGTATATGATGTTATGTGTTATGTTATACAGCACTGCATTGCGTTCATTCAATGTTTAATCAAATGCAAATCACAAATTCACAATATTACATTCTATCTGTTACACCAGTCGAGATTGACAAACAAAGATGATAAATTGGCTCATCAAACCAATCCAGTTTTCCCAAGATCTTCCAAGTCACCTGAAGTTCACGTATCAATCAGAAAAGTGGAAAATCATGCAGATAACGCGCGCAAGATGCTATGGGTGTTGATGCAAGAAAATGCTATCCCATTATTATCTTGTTCATTGTCTGTTCTTGTGAATTGTATTTCGGAAAGGTGGGGAGGGAATATTGTGTTTATTATTTATTATTGTCTGACACTTCACTTGTTTATGGATTGGAATACCTTTCCCGCTGCGAGTGACATTTTTCTGTCTTAGACTTCCTCGGTCAGTCTCCTACGACACTTATCCGGTGTATACATACACACACACATATATATGTTGGCCAAAATGGTGAGATTTATTGTCGGAAAGAAAGAAAGTTTAGATAGCCTCATTGCTACTAGGCATAGTGTCCTTTGTCCCCTCATGCCGTATCTTGGTATCGGTTTCAAGAGCCTCAAAAAGGTCATTCCAATATCATCTCGGCCAATAATTGATTACTTCTTCCCCTCACACATCTTAGTTTACTGTACGGTCTGTACCTGAATTGGATCCAAATCTCCATACCAAGTCTCAAGCGCTGAGATCAGCCATAAGATTTTTCGCACATCGAGGCTGAGTTACGAAGTTGACTTGCTTAGTTGAGGGATATCAGGTCCATACGAGCGGGCGTGGAAAATAGGGCATAGCTTGGATCTTGGGGAAACGAGTACGAGCAGTACACACACCTAATGGAAGTGTCGTTGCAGTCACGGTAGTCGTTGTAGTCTTACCGACTATTAGTAGAGGAACTATTTACGATAGTCAGGTTGAGGTCTTCAATCATCACTCACCGTACATAGGTAGGATTCAGTTCGTGATTGATCGTGATTGATCGTGATTGAGCTAAAGAAGAACTTTGTAAGTCACTACTGGTATCAATTAACCCACCGACTCATCGATGTAGTCGCAGGATGTTATGACAGCCATTTTTCGAACGTGCTGTCTTCAACAGGAATGGTTGGACAATGGATGATGACAGGGAGACTAAACCCCAAGAAACCCGATCGGAATAATAATTTGATTATTTTTTTTTTATAAACAAAAATTGACTTTGTGTCAAGCGGATGTGGCGATCATTATACTTAATAGACATGGTTCACGTTGTTGATGCGGAGAATCCCTCCCCTCCTTAATATTCTCAACCAAGGGTCTACTCCATATAATAAGTAGGTACCAAATACCTACCCAGTACCCCTTAAAGATTAATAAGATCAGTTGACGACTTGACATGGGGGATTATGAAGAAAGAGAGGAATTGACAAAGTAGTTGAAGTTTGTCGTTTCATTATTTTTCAATCATCCGACTTTGTGTTTTTTCTTCTCAAATCCCACTTCTAGAGCTATTAGGCTGGTATTCAATAATAAGTGTAATAAGTGTATCGTAACGCCATACCCAAGCTAAAAAAAGATGGTGGTATTCTTGGTGGCATATTATCGGTTGGCGCTGCTCTTCTCGTATTTCCCCTGTCGTGACTCTTTTTCATGTCCTCAAGGTGGAGTGGAATGTGTCTATTCGGCCCAAATTCAACAAGCATAAGATCTGTTGGAAATCTCGTGATGAAACTCGCATCATCGGTGTTATGGCGACAATCCAGAATCCAAGCTCCCACGATGATCCATAATACATCGGAGAGTCAAGGCTTTCAGGGTTGTTGAACAACACAACATATGATAACCTGGTAGGTATGCATTGCATTGCTTTGCGAGATGGAAATGGAAATGGAAATGGAAATGGAAATGGAAATGCCATCAGGAAAGGTCGTGTCAATAGTATGAAACGGCTAAAGCGAATCGGTCGTGATTGATTGTGTACAAGGACAAGAAGGATGATGATTGACACCGATCTCCCGGTCGTGAACGGTGTGAAGTCAAACAGATGAGGAATTTCTCAAAGGGCATTTCTGCTTTTGCTAATGATAGATAGCGTATGTGAGGTGCTTACAAAGGAGATTTATTAGCATTCGACTACGTATTCTCCTAATCCGTAGGTGCATCGTAGGTGCATGCCTAGGTACATGAAGATTCAAGGTACCAATTCAATCCATCCCCTTAGCAACTTCCCTTAGCAACTTCCCTTAGCAACCTCCCCTCGCTCCCTTCCCACCTCAGTACGTACCAAAGCATGGATATTTTTAGGAATTTCCCTTCCAAACTCAATTCATGAGCCAATCACTCTTCTTCAGATTCGATAGGCCGTGATGGCAACATTGCTGCATTCCAAAGCGGTTCTCTTGATTTGCCTTGCGTGAGCAAGTAACAATGCAGTACGTGAATATCTCTGTAGCCTTGTACCCATGGTTTTTCTATCTTCTCTCTCATCATGAACTCCAAGACTTCGTTCGTCCTTTCATAAACCCATGGTGAAGATTAGAGGAGAACTTCATTCGTTTTTTGGCTCCATTATCTCCCACTCCACCCCCAATATATCCGGTTTCATTATCATATCGAGCTTCTCATAATTACAAAAGTTTATCACTCGTTTATTAAACAGCAAGGCAAGATCGTTCGTATTATCATATCATTATTCGCTCCGAGGTTTCCACTGCCAAAGTACAAAATAAGCTCCTGCCAAAAATACCTACCTACAGAGTACACTGGCTCTGTCAAAATAAACTTCCGCTTCTCCCCTTTGCGCCATCGAGATTTCTTGACATCTCGATATATTGGAATAATCCAGATCCCAGGTCTTACTTGTCACTTGTTCGGAAAAGAGAGAGAGAGAGAGAGAGACAGAGAGAGAGAGACAGAGAGAGAGAGACAGAGAGAGAGAATACACACATTTACCGTACATGTTTTATTCACTCAATTAAATCACTCCATCTACCTACCTACATTCGTTATTTTCAAGGAATATTCATCAATCAGTACATGGACTTCTGTAACGCCGCCACCTCCTCTTGACCCTTGGTCGACCAAGGAACCAACCCACAACACTCAACAGGGATAATAAAACAATCCCTCTACTCCGTGCAAACAAAATAACTTTGACCACTGTTTGACCGCCATCAATGTATGTTTCCCCATATTCTTCATTATTCTAAAGTTATACTTGCCCCTCATAATCGCTTTTGTTGCAAAGCTTGGAAGAAGAAGAGTCCAGGTGTTTGTCATCTAATTTCTCTCGGGGAATTTGATTACCACTGCCTCATTCCTTCTAACCGCTCTTGCCTGCGACGGAGACGCCGAAGTGATTGAAGTTGGAATATTCTTCGGAATCTTTCATTCACTCTTTAATAATAACTAACGATTCTACCCAAATAGAACTATGTCTCCTCCGAGGCGACCTGATCATAGTGAATCACATAGATCTCACCACTATCGAAATAATTCGCGGCGCGCACAAGTTCAAGATGAAGAAACTGTCTATTATACTCTCCCCCCAGCTTCGCCTACACATGAAACTCGACCTTCGAAATCTTCCTTTGCGGATACAGCATCATCTCCACTGACTCCAACAATGTCTCGTGAACCAATCTCACCATCGCGAAATACAACACCTGCGACTGCGATGTCGAGGAAGCGAAGTCTTATTCGCCCAGAACGTAATAGGATAGATGAAAACCATCCCAACTATCACTATCGCCAACATGCCGCCAATATGGATACCCAACCTTCAACGACAGGCAACGATCCCATAATGGAGGATATCGAGGCAGATGCTGCGAATACAGAGACTTCGGGGCTTCGATCATCGGGGGAAGCGGAATCTGATATTGCGCCACCCGCAAGACGAACCACACGCGGCCATGGAGCTGGACCAGAAGACCTCGCCTCGAATGAAAAGGCTGGATTTGCTTCCAAGTCTCGAGGAGGAAATAAATTGAAGAGGGAGAGGGTGCCAAAAATGTCCAAGGAGGAGAAGGAAAGGCAAAAGGCCCTCGACACTGTTAAACCACCTAGTCTTTGGAATGTTTATTGCGCCATTGTAACCTTCTGGTGTCCAGGGTTTGTTCTCAAGTGTTTCGGCTTCCGTTCTAAAGCACAACAAAGAGCTTGGAGAGAAAAGATGGGATTGATCAGCATTATTCTCTCTATCATGGCATTTGTAGGATTCTTGACATTTGGATTTACCGCAACAGTGTGTGGGACGGGCTCAGGTCTACGATTACAAGTCAACCATGTGGATTCTGGATATATGATCTTCCACGGTAACGCGTATGATCTTTCAAAATCAGAACATCCCGCTGCAACAGGCATCACAGATGGGGCAAACGTTCTGTATGATTTGCCCCAAAAGTATGGGGGTATGGACGGAAGTTTCTTGTTCCAGAATGTCAATGGCAAATGCAAAGGTTTAATCACTTTAGCTGATGGATCGGACGTTCCAACCAATTCTGACAAGGATCTTGCATGGTACTTTCCTTGTCATGCATTCAATCAAGATGGTTCAAGCTCTCCAAATGAGACAATCGGTGCCTATTTTGGGTACGCGTGCCATTTGCAGGCAGATGCTCGCTCATCGTTTTACGGACTCAATAGTGCTGGAGCTGTCTATTTTACCTGGGATGACATCAAAAATTCTTCAAGAAACCTTATGGTTTACTCTGGCAACGTTCTTGACCTAGACCTTCTGAAATGGTTCAACACTACTCAAGTTTCCGTTCCATCCAGGTTTACCACCCTTGCCGATAACACTTCCGCCGCCAACGCCGCTGTACGCGGTAGGGATGTTACACACGCCTTCCAATCTTCAGAGGACAGGAAGATTGCTCAATGTCTTGAGCAGATCATTAAAGTTGGAAGTGTTGATACCGAAACTGTTGGGTGTATCGCTTCCAAAGTAGTTCTTTACGTCTCTTTGGCCTTCATTCTTGCCATTGTTCTGGTTAAGTTCGTCTTAGCTTTGATATTCCAATGGTTCATTGCCTCGAAATACGCCGCATCAAAGACTTCTCAATCATCCGACCCCAAGAAGCGTCAGCAACAGATCGAGGAATGGTCCGATGACATCTACCGGGCTCCTCCAAGAATGGCCGGTGATATTGGTAGCTCCGCTGCGGGATCTGGATCTGATAAGACGAGCAAACGAACCAGTGTGTTCTTGCCAACGACGTCTCGTTTCTCGAATCCTTATGCCGCTGCTGATCGATCATCTCGCGTTGGACGCCCTCAACCTACAACCATGGCAAGTCAAGCCTCAACAGCTCAGTTGATCCCCCCAAACCCTATGTTCCGAAATCAAAACAATAGCCGAAACAGCCTTTTGCGAACTGATAATTCAAATGATCTGGATGGGCCCGGTCCTACCAGCTTCATTCATGATCTAGTAGTTCCTCAACCACCAAAAGAATGGGAACCATACGGCTTCCCTCTGGCTCATGCAATTCTTCTCGTGACTGCCTATTCTGAAGGTGAACTTGGTATTCGGACGACCCTTGACTCTATCGCTACGACTGATTATCCTAATAGTCACAAAACTATTCTGGTTATCTGTGATGGTATTATTAAGGGTGAAGGTGAACCAAAGTCAACACCAGAAGTTGTTCTTGGCATGATGAAAGATTTTGTCACTCCTGTTGAAGAAGTTCCTGCATTCTCTTACGTAGCGGTCGAAAGAGGATCGAAGAGACACAACATGGCCAAAGTGTACGCTGGTTTCTACGATTACGGTGCTGATTCTACTATCAACGTAAATAGACAACTCCGAGTTCCAATGGTGTGTATCGTCAAGTGTGGTACTCCTGATGAAGCTACACACCGCAAACCTGGAAACAGAGGCAAGCGTGACAGTCAAATTATCTTGATGTCTTTCTTACAAAAAGTCATGTTTGATGAACGTATGACTGAACTCGAGTTTGAAATCTTCAATGGATTCTATCAAATCAGTGGCATCTTCCCGGATATGTATGAGGTTGTTCTTATGGTTGATGCAGATACAAAGGTTTTCCCTGACAGTTTAACACACATGGTATCGGCAATGGTTAAAGATCCTGAGATTATGGGACTTTGCGGAGAGACCAAGATTGCGAACAAACGTGCCAGTTTCACAACTGCGATACAAGTTTTCGAATACTTCATTTCTCATCACTCTGTCAAATCCTTCGAATCGATTTTCGGTGGTGTTACTTGTCTTCCCGGTTGTTTCTCCATGTATAGAATCAAGGCTCCAAAGGGCGGTAACTATTGGGTTCCTATCTTGGCCAATCCTGATGTCGTCGAACATTATTCCGATAACGTAGTAGACACGCTGCATAAGAAGAACTTGCTACTTTTGGGAGAGGATCGATACCTCTCAACACTCATGCTTCGAACATTCCCCAAGCGCAAACAAGTATTTGTCCACAAGCTGTTTGCAAAACTCAAGTGCCAGACTCTCTTTGGGTTCTCATGTCACAAAGACGTAGATGGATCAACAGTACCGTCCACAATTTGATGGAATTGGTTTTGGTCAGAGATCTTTGCGGTACTTTCTGCTTCAGTATGCAGTTTGTCGTCTTTATTGATCTCGTCAGTACTCTGGTTCTTCCAGCCGCTATTGCCTTCACAATTTACGTCGGTAAGTAAATCATTCTACATGAAATTGTAATATCTTACTGACTATTTCCTAGTAATCATTTCGATTATTCGTCGCCCTGTCCAAATCATTCCGCTCGTACTCTTAGGATTGATCCTTGGTCTACCAGCAGTTTTGATTGTTATAACAGCTCATCGTTGGGTCTATGTTCTTTGGATGATGATTTATCTTGTCTCGTTGCCAATTTGGAATTTCTTACTCCCAGCATACGCCTTTTGGAAATTCGATGATTTCTCCTGGGGAGATACTCGTAAGACAGCGGGTGAAAAGACTAAGAAGGCGGGTATCGAATACGAGGGAGAATTCGATAGTTCAAAGATTACCATGAAGCGATGGAAAGAATTTGAGAGAGAAAGAATCTTAAGGAGTAACCCAAGTTGGGTCAATTCAAATACTTCGTTGAATAAGGAAAATCATCGTTGGCAGCAACATCAATATGATGATTATGCGGATAGTTGAGGAGGTGGCTTTGATAGTATTATTCTGATGGAAGGTATTGAATGGGATTGATTAGACTTTGCTCGTTGTTTATTATTGAGCGTACATAATGCATCGCGTGGTTGGAAAGTGGGAAGGATAACTTCCCTCATCTGTTTAGGATGGGGCGGTAGTATAGTCAGTCAGTCTCCCTTCTTGAAAAAGATGGCGTAATGTTATATTGTTTTGTAATCGTAATCTTGACATACCTTTGGTGGTTTGTTTAGTGCTTTTTTTTTGGTTGATTGATTGCGGGTGTGGGTGTGGATTATACGCTTTTAATGAGATTGTGGGTTGGAGTTGGGGAGGTGGGGGTGGGAAGTGGGAAGTGGGATTTATATAGCGTTTGTATGGATGAATGTGAGGGGTGTGAGAGGTGAGATGTGTGCGGGAGGGGTGATATCAATTATACAATGTTATATTATTCTTCTTTCTTTTTTCCCCTTGATGACGAAGGTGTGTTGTTGAATTAGTGGGGATTGATTGCTTGATTGCTTGATTGTAGGTGGGTAGGTATTGGTTTATTTTTACTTGTGTGTGATGTATATAATTGTTGAGTGATGAGTTATGAGTGATGAGTTATGAGTGATGAGTTATGAGTGATGAGTTATGAGTGATGAGTTATAAGTGATAAATTAATCTTGCGGGTTTGGATTTGGATTTGGATTTGAATTGGGATTCAACTTCGACTTCGGTATTCGTTCTTGTTTGTATGATGTGTTTGTATGATGTGTTTGTATGATGTGTATGTATGATGTGTATGTGTATGTGTATGTGTATGTGAAAGCTTGATTAATAGAAGAAAATAGGGAAGGGGAGGGAAGGGGGAAGGGGGGTAAGTGAATCTCGGGTAATTTTAAATATCTACTCTGGGGTTGGGGTTGGGGTTGTGTACTAGGTGGGAGGTGGGAGGTGTGGATGGTAGGTTGAGTGAGTGAGTGAGTGGGTGGGTGAGTGAGTGAGTGGGTGAGTGAGGGGAGCGAGGGGAGAGAGGGACGAAGAAGATTGGTCGTGGTTGGAGGGGTTTGGAGGGGGAAATTATTTATGGGTGAGGATTGAAGATTAAAGATTGGAGTTATTGATGTTTGATATTTATCTATTTGTTCATTTTCCAGTCAGCATGGATCGAAATGAAGTTTATGATTTTGATTTTGATTTTGATTTTGATTCTGCGAGTCGGGAGATAAAAGATGAGAATGTGAGGGGTAGAAAAGGTGGAAAAGGTAGGGATCGATAGTTGATAATTTGATAATGGCAGTCGTATAAGTAACTAATTACTCGTATTAGTATTTGTCAAGTAGAGCAGAACTAGATGAGAAGTTTTATGAGATGAGATGAGATAGAATGAGATAGAATGAAGTAAGATGTATACACACCTACACAGAGAAAGAAAAGAAGATTGGAGAATAAGCATAATATGAGAAAAAGGTGAGGTAAGATGAAATGAAGTTTGTCTAGATAGATAGGTATAATAATTAGATTACTGATATATCATTATTATACGTGTCAAATTTTAGATTTCAGGCTTTGAGATGAGAAATGAGGAATAGGATTTTAGATTGTAAGGGATGATATGGACTAGGTTACATGATCTTTTACAGATACTTATTATACACTAAATAAATAGATATATTATGATATGATGTTTAGGATACGATAGATAGCAAATCGACTCATTCCTGGAGGGAAGGGAAATTTTACTTTCGTAGAAGTTTGGGAGAAGAGGTTGTTGTGTTGAATGGATGGATGGATGGTTGGTTGTGAGTGAGTGAGTTGGTGAGTTGTGATTGGTTTGGAGTGGATCGGGTCTAGGTTTGAATTTGAATTAAATTTGTAGAGGAAGGAAATGAAGGGATAAATGAGTTTATGTGTATATAAATATTTCGTATAGAGTAAAGAGAGAGAGAGAGAGAGAGGGAGGGGCAACTTTCAACTTTCAACTTTTAAGAAAAAGATGTAGTGATCTGAATGAGTGGGAGGGAAGTACGTAGACCAAGGGGGTTATATATTATTCATCAGTTGATTGGTGATCACGAGGAAAGATAGTGAGTGTGTGGACATTCATTTTAGATATAATATGGAAAGCGATTTAGACATTTATGGGAGTTCAAGCAGTAGAATATATCTAGCTAGCTAGCTAGTTACCACAACATACCCACATAAGAGGAGAAAGCTAGGAACATTTCATGTATAATCTATATACAAGACAACTCTTTAAACTTAAGATCCAATATTAGACTACAATACGACGTAACGTAATATATGCAATACACCAATTTCAAACCCATTCACCCTCATAACTCCTACCCTATCCGAACTCGCGGATATGTATTTAAAACTTTTCGTTAAAGTCTCCCCGAGTCGCTGATTATCCATCTATACTTCCATGCTTCCAATCTATAACACCAAAAAATCAATCTTCACATTAACCTCCCTACCTTGCCCTACCCTCAATCTATAACCCACAAAAAATCATTGATTTCCTATTCTATCTCTCTGTGGTGGACTGGGTGTATAAGTCGTTACACTTCCTCGATAAACATACGCTTTTCACCCGAAAAAACAAAAACAATTAGCAACTTTGTATCTCAAAGATCAAATCGTAATTCAAAAAGCATTCAAAAAAGAAATCGGAACAAAAAAACAAATCATCTATCGTCCCTATTTTTCCGTCCCTCTTGTTTCATCAAATTGTCTTCAAGAAGTTGATACGTACGTTGACCCTTCTGTAATCCAGCTAATCCACTCCTCTCCATCATGTCCGTGAATGTAGTGTTGTGACTTCCTCCTCTTTGTCCTTCCACTCCAAATGTTGGTGGTAAACCGAGATGATTTACACTTTGATTCTGATTCTGATTTTGTTGTTCTCTTACTTGTCGAAAAGAACTCGCTGTATCGGCATCTGTAAAGATATTTATATCTTCATAACTCGGTTCGCGTTGTAGAGGAGGAGTAATGGGTCGATTGGGTACGTTTGTTTGTTTTTTTCTTTGTATGTTGAGTGGGATTGGTAATGCTGGGGGTGGACTATTTTGATAAGCTATGCCAGGACTATTGGACATTCCTGTAGCGGTGGATTTTCGAAATAAGGATTGAACACGTGTAATGGTTTTATTTCTTCGAGGAGTACCATCTGCGGATGTAGAAGGTGTTTGAGGCATTTTGCGCAGGAAATCGGTACGCACGTCGCTGGTGGGTACAGGGTCGGAGATGTTTCCGAAGGAGGAACCGCTTTTGCGTTGGGAATGTTTACGGCGACCGAGACAGCATACAGTGAGAAGCGCAAGAATGGCTCCTATGGCGATACCTGGAAATAGACCTATGAGGATTGCAACAACAGGGTATTTGTCGCATGTTTCTGGGATGATAGTTATAGGTGTGCCGGTTGAAGATGGAGTTGAAGTAGATGATGGGTTAGCGGACGAGGGATTGCCCGGAGCAGCAGTTACTTGTGAACCTGAGCTCGTGGTTACAGGTGATGTTCCGCTACTCACCGCAGAACTCTGTTGTTGACCTGGAACGGAATCTGCTTGATCGGCGTTCATCTGACAGTTGCCATTTACGCACGTGTAACCAAATGGACAGCAGTTACTTCCACATTTTTCCAAAGTTGCTGTCAGAGCTGTAGTTTTGAGTGTATTTTCAGGATGTGAAGTGATATTTTGTTGAGTGATGTCGCAAGTAATAGGCTGGATAGTGCTACAATCACTTCCACTAGGACAACACAATAAGGTGGTGTTTTGTGCTAAAGCTATACAAGTCGAAGTAGAAGGGCAACAAAAGTCTGATGGTAACCCAGTATTTGCACATTGTACATAGCCCGCTTGAGGACATGTTGCCCGCTCGAAGATAGTGTTTGCTTGCGTAAAATTTGAGCTTAGAAGACAAACAATAATCAATAACGAGTGTTTGCTGATTCGACTTTGCCTCATAGCTGCAACCATATGTAATAATACTTTTCTCTTCGAAAATGTACCAAATCGTGAGTAAACACTTGAAGCAGTGGACCTTGTTTTAAAATGGCAAAGTCCAAATAAATCAATAGTATGAATGAGTGTTAGAAGTAGAAATCAATGGTACAAGAAGAATTAATGTAAAAGATGTAGGGTCTAGAAAGAGTATATCGCGAAAAGAATTCTTGGAGAATTTGTAAATATAAGAGAGTAACAAAGAAAGATAAAATTAGAATCGAAAGATTTCTCCAGTGTGGAATGATGAACAATGAAAGTCGAGAGAAGCCAAAAAAAATGGAGTGGAGGTTTTTGAGTATGAAGAGAAACAAACTAGACTTCCTTTGTTCACTACCCGATCAAGCATTTGACTTGACTTTCGTCATATAGCGTTTCTGTAAGAGACTTCTACTTCAGAAACACATGGTTTTAGAGGAATAAAAGGTCATCACCCATACATTCTTCAATGATGACCCATATCCATGTCTAGATGGTCATTCATGCGTCGACCGTGTACCTTCGAATAGGATATTTAGAAATGATACCCATAACAAGCTACACATGAGAGTACTGGCTCTCACAGCAGCGGTTCGAGATGATGAAAATAGTTCATTGGTATTGAAGTTAGAGTTTGAAGAAATTTCAGAAAATGAGTCAATAGCCAATTAGATGGTACAGTGTCTTCATCGTGAAGTCATTGGAGATGGACAGGTTATCAAGCGCTGAGGAGAAAGATTTGTTGTTGAAGTTTTGGCGCGAATGACTGGTAGATAATGATTTGAGTAAGTTGATTGGACGAGAAGAGCAGAAAAGGTAATTGACGCGCTGGTTTGAGTTTGGTACCTTTTGATTGGTCGAGGGGTTTGAGGTAGTGAAACTTAGGTAAGCCTAGATAGAAAGGACTGTCGGACTGGCGGACTGGCGGTCTGGCGGTCTAGACTGGTGGGAACTCAAAAAGACAGATGAGAGTCACGAGACAATCATTCCATTTTCCTCTTGCTGATGAAGAGATAACGGGCAAACGAAGTGACGGAAAGACATACATTATATACCAACTGATGATTATTATACATTATCTATGTTATCCATGGTAAAATACTACATCGTCATGACAATATCACAGCGATTTGGGTTCATTCGGGGTCTTTGAAGTATGTTTCTTCATGAAGCTTTCTCTTGACACATCTCGTAAGAGTATGCTGGCTGTAGGTATTCAAAGCCTGTGCTGATTGTGAATACCCAGGTACGGATACCGGTATGATGGTGACAGTATCACAGCAGTTTGTTGGATCTTCCTCTCTGCTTCTTGTTTTCTTCTTCCTTTCTTCTCCTTCCTCGACTCTCTCCTCATCCAATGCTCGCTCTTCTTCCACGGTAGAGAATCAAATTGAAGCCGGATTCCAACTACAACCTTATATATGTTGGAGCAATCTATTTCTATTTCTATTTTTATGGTTAACCTCTGAAGCAAGTTAAAGTTCAGTCAGATGGAAATGTTTCTCTTTAATTTGGAAAAACACGAATGCCAAGTCTACCGAGGTCGTGGCTTTCCCTTCCCAAGCGTTTCGCCGTTGAATCCGGTAGCTCTCTAAGATGATCTCTGAGATGAAGCTGAATCGCATGCCGATAATTACCAGTACGGACGACGTCGGAGTATTGTACAAGCACAGGGCAGATGGGCAACTCAACTTACCCATGGCGGTCTTTTAGTTTCCTTTCAATTTTTGCAACTATTTAAAAAAAGAAAGTGGGCGTGCAAGACATCTACATCTATGGAAAGTTTGTAAGAGCAAGTTCGGTGCCGTGCTCTCCCTACCTAGTTCCTATCTTTGAAAAAGGGATTGAGTTCGGAATTGTAACATTTTTCCCTCGTGTTCTCATGCCATGCGGTGGTCATGATCTTCTGTCTGATCTTCTATCGTTTCCCATTCGAGTAAAAATTAATCAAAGGAAATGAGACGATCTTCTGTTATGCTTATTGCTAGGATTGAGCTTCATGCCAAGCCTGATAGATAGATTGATTGATTGGAGGTTCCGACTAGTCTGCTCCTTACAAACGTTTAGTCAGGAACCGATGAACGGACGGTCAGTCTGTACGGAATTTGTGGGTTGTGTGGATATGGATGATGTGAGTGGTGGTTTGTCAATGGAACTAAGAAAGGTACGAAGTGGTAAAGGAGGGTGGGACCCCTGTTTCCTTGTGCTTGGAGAGAACGGAAAGACTGCATGGTCTTGACTGTACCTGCGCATGTTGCCGAAGTGATACGGTAGCACACGAAAGGGGCAAAGAGAGAGACGAGAGATGAGATGAGATGAGATGAGATGAAATTATGACAATAATTATGTATGGGTATCTAGATAGACAGGAAGGTATGAAGTGTATAGGTAGCCAAGTATACCTAGAGTGTATATAAAATAAGTTTACACGATAATGAGAATGACAGCAGGTAGAGAGACAGAGAAAAGTCAATGGCTATGAATAATTCATAATCCGGGGAAGTTGTTACCAGGAATCATCATGAGCTTAGCTGGTATAGTCATAACGTGAAGTCTATAATAAACATTCCAGTCAATCGGCCCCTTTGAGATATTATACTTCTTAATAAATGTATATTATCCCTCTCGAATGCTTTTATACTTCCAAAACGACATTATACTCATGATTTCTCCGTCCATCATTCGTTCAAGTCCATTCCACTCGGAATAATTTCTTGCATAAGGTTGTTATCCGTCATCATACATCCAAATGAGGCTAAGCCTTGATTGGGTGTGGCTTAGCATCTCTTTTCTCTTCCAAGTAATGAAACTTTAAATTTTGATCGCTTTCCAACATTTCCCCTATCATCCACTCCCCGTATGTTAAAATGTTCTCACCTGTGAAAAATCGAAGAATCCTTGACGCACATCCACACTCCACCCATCATCTATTTGGCCTATTTGGCCTGTTTGTCCTACAATCCACAAAAAATGAGAGATCTCAATGGGGAAAATACGACTTTGGGAAATTGCATCAAGGCATGCTTGGATGGATGAATGGATGAATGGTCCTGGAATTGTTCAAATTGGTCAATGCAATTACCACTTTGGGAATGCATATTTTGAAGAGAAGAGGGGATATCGGCTTGCTGGAAGTGGGAGAGAGATACAAGAAAGGTGTACTGAGTAGGTAGGTATGTATGTATGATTGTGATATTTGACGATGGAAACAATGGAATAGAGGAAGTGAAATTGAAGACCGGTAACGTATGGTACTCTTCCTACTTTTTCATTTCCTTCGTATCATTTCCCCTTCAATCAATCAAAATATCTTGGCTTCCACTGCGTTGTCTCTTGGTACACAAAATTTAAACATTCATCGCTTGTTTGTCAATTGGGAGAAACACCCAAAGAGCTTAGTCTGACCATCAATCACTTCCCATCCCAACTTCGGGGGATCTTACCCATGTTCAGAAGTCTTGGAACTTATCTAGTCCTGTAGGTAGCCTTTGGGTATAGCTTGCCATCTAATTATCTCTCCACGTTTTTATTTATCTCTTCTATCCTCCCTCTTCTCTTTCACTCCTCACTCCTCTTATCGACGTTGTTGTTGTGAATACCTTCATTTTGTCAACCTTCACGTTCTCTTCATCGCCGAACAAATATCTCTACCGCTTCACTCTTTCAGCGGGCATTCTTTACGAGGACCCTTACGAATATATCGATCGTGTGGGAGGATATCATCCAATCAAAATTCGATTCTTAATATACAATATAATCTACCATATACAAGATGAAGGCCGGAGTTCTCGCAGTCGCGGCTGCAATTGCAGGTGGTGTTAATGCTAGAGACCTTGGAAGGAGACATGGTCATCAAGATTTCCATGAGAGAGGATTGCTAGCTACCGCAGCATCATCGTCAGAGTCATGTGGTTGTACAACCGTTTGGTCTACCGTCACTGGTGAACCTCAATGTATGTGATATGTTATACACATATACTTCATATTCATGAAGTATGTTATTCTTGAACATTGACTGACATCAAATTTTAGTATACTTCCCACCAGCTCCAACCGCTGCTTCTGTTGCTTCTAGCTCAGTCGTATCACCAGCACCATCGTCGGCAACATCTGCTGAAGGCCTTTCATCTGTACCAGCAGCTTCTGCTCCAGGTTCATCGGCACCAGCACCATCTGCACCAGCAGCTTCTGCTCCAGGCTCATCGGCACCAGCCACTTCCAAGGGAGTATCAACTGCTCCTACTGCCCCAGCTTCAACTGCCCCAGCTGTTGTCCCCACTCCTTTGGCAACCACGTGCCCAACTCCAGGTGTCTACACCATCCCAGCCACCACTGTGACCTTGACTGAGTCCACCACTGTCTGTGGTGCTACATCAACTGGTCTTCCATCTGCAGGAACTTACACCGTTGGAGGTGTCACCACTGTCGTAACCACCGCCACAACAGTTGTATGCCCATACGCTGCTGTCTCAACTTCAGAAGGTGTTGTTACAAGCACCATCTTGACAACCACCTATGTATGCCCATCCGCAGGAACATACACCATCAACCCATTAACCACTACCGTTACTGAGCCCGCCGTTTGGGTTTACCCAACTCCTGCTTCCTATGCTCCAGGAACCTACACACAACCTGAAGTTGTCACCACCATCACCGAAACTAATGTGGTTGTTTTCTGCCCTTACTCTTCATCATACTCCACAATTGTTGATGCCACATTACCAGTTGGTACACCTGCCCAGGCTACTTCTGCTCCAGCCCCAGTTACGACTTCCGTCGTAGTCCCAGTCGCAACACCAAGCTCTAGCTCAGTTTACGTTGCTCCCTCTTCAAGCGCTGTTTATGTTGCTCCATCCTCAAGCGCTGCATCCCTTGTCCCATCATCTTCCGCAGTTGCATCTTCTGTAGTTGCATCTTCCGTTGCATCTCCATCTGCCTCCTCCACTTCCTCCTCCTCTGCCGGAAACGGAGGCAGTGTAGGAAGCACTGGAAAGCAATGGGCTATGACTTATTCCCCATACCAAGATTCTGGATCTTGCAAGACTGCTGCAGAAGTTTCCGTTGATGTAGCACTTATTGCCTCCAAGGGATTCACAGCCATCCGTATCTACAGTACCGATTGCTCCGGACTCGAGAACGTCGGTAACGCTGCTAAGCTTGCTGGTCTCAAATTGATCGTCGGTATATTCATTAGCGAGACCGGATGTTCCGGAGCAGCTGACCAAGTCACCGACCTCATTGCATGGGGACAATGGTCTCTCGTTGAGCTTATCGTTGTCGGTAACGAAGCCGTCTTTGGTGGTCACACTACCGCTTCTGAACTCGCCGCATTCATCAGCTCCTCCCGATCATCCTTCGCAAGTGCTGGATACACTGGACAAATCACCACCACTGAGCCTCTCAACATCTGGCAAGAAAACACCAGTGTCCTCTGTTCCGCCGTCGACATCACTGGTGCCAACCTTCACCCATTCTTCAACGCTGAAGTCACTGCCGAAAATGCTGGTAAATTCGCTCTCTCCCAACTCGAGCTTGCCGATGCTATCTGCCCTGGTCTTACTGCCATTAACCTCGAGACCGGATGGCCTTCCGCTGGTACCTGTAACGGAGCTGCTTGCCCTGGTGCAGATGAGCAAAAGACTGCCGTAGCTAGTATCATCGAGTCGTGTGGTGGACGTGCCGCCATCTTCTCCTACACCAACGATCTCTGGAAACAACCAGGTGGATTTGGCTGTGAGCAAAGTTGGGGTTCCATCCATCTTTTCTAGATGATTTGTTGAAAGAGACCGAAATATATACATGACAAGATATTAATTTATATGATATATTTCCTTTGTTTTTTGGCATCACATTACAGAAGTATGGTATGACCATGGCATCCAACTTTTACGAATGGAACGGGGATAAATTAAAATACTTGAAGGATTGGGGCATTTTTTCTATGTTTTTTGGATATTGGATATTTAGCATTTTGGCTTGGGAGAAGCGGTTGGAGTAGAGGTTGAGAAATGGGCTTGCATCTTTGCATTAAGCTTTTAGGCAGATTATATTACTACACTATACTTACATTAATTATTCATACGTGGATATGGCGAATGCCAAACTCAAATTCAGATTTAGATTTGGACTTTGAATGTTTTTTTCATTTCTATTGATTGATTGACTCCTTCGTCTTTGCACTTGTGTTTAATGTGTGGTGACGTGTTGATTGGCGCAATATTGGGTTCACTCCCACCTAGCATGTTTGACAGATCCAAAAGACCCTTGAAGTTTTTACCTCAATCTTGATAGAGAATTGTTTTTGAATATCTATTTCCGTTCATGTTGTGATGACATGTAGAATATTTTAACATGTATAATCGACATCGATACAAAACGATACGGCCATTTCTATATATCTATCTTTACATCTATCTATACATTTAAACTTCTATATATCTATCTATTATATATTATTATCCCTTCCCTTCCCCTCTCTTCACACCCCATATCAAATCTTTTGAACGAACCATCACATCCAAGTTTCCATCTCTATTCTCATCCCTGTCTCATCCTCATCTTCATCCTCATCCTCATACTCATCCTCTAATTCTAACCTCACATCCAATCTCACTCCGATTTCCAATTTCTAATTTCCAATCTCTCAAACTTTTCCTTGTTGTTTGAAAATAATTACCTAGGTAGATGGATAGATAGGTATTGATGTGTGTATGAATATATGAATATGTGAAACTTCAATTTTGTTTCATTTACTTGGGCGGATGATGATATGGTAATAATGCATCAATCCCGATCCCATATTTCTCATTATCGCAATCGAAATTTCTTCAAAGCTTCAAAGGCGAAGAATGGGTAGATGTAAAGGATATCCACTCATCCACCCAGTATCTTCAATCCCCTCCGTCCCTCTCCCCCAACACCCCTAGAATTCTATTTTCCTTCTCCCTTCCCCTAATCTCATCCTCATCCTCTATAAACTCAAAAATACCCACCTACCTTCGTAGGACACATCCACACATGTACGCGCAAGTAGCGCGCAGATGAAGCAAGGCGAAGCGAATGAAAAAGAACAAAAAGGAGTATATTTATTCATTTGTCGATTTGTCGATTTGTTAATTCATCACATCTCACAAGTAGAGAATTGATGTTACTGCTGCTGGTGATGATGACGATACCTTCTATCATCTGTATCGAAAAAAATCAAGGAATCCTTTTACCTCGGAGATGTAGGCGCGGACTTGGGGCAGGCTGGGAAGAGGAACGGATTGTTAGTTCTAGGGGGGGTTTTTGATTCTTGAGTAGATAAAAATCGTGGAGATGGATTGATTCTATGTTTATGTTGGCATGAATGAATGGCTCACTTGCTCTATTCCTCGGGGGCAAATTGGTATTTCTATCTCTATTTCCATTCTCATAACCAAAAATTCACAAGATGCGATGATGTGATGTTATGAAATAAACTGAAATGAGATATGAAAAACCCTTGGAACAGAGAACGAACAGAAGAACGGGTTTAGGGGGAACTCTAGGATCAAAATCTAGATCTCCAATTTCTCGTTTTTTTTTTTCATGTAGCTACCTAGGTAAGTAGAGATATGGTTATCTAGGTATCTACTAGAATCGTTGTTTTAAGGAGTAATTATGATCGATGTTTTCACTGGAATATTCGAGTCGGTAACTTGTCGGCTATTTCGATGAATTCTGCCAACCACACATTGGGGTGGTTGGCCATGGGGATGATTAGCCGACAAGTAGTGAGGATCATTTCGCGGTGGCAAAGTGGTTGTGTTTCGGTCCAGAAGGTAGGAGTGGTAGAAGATACCTACTAGGTACCCAGGTATGTTTAGGCAAGGCAAAACTCGAAGAAAATACTCATCATGACCCATGTAATTACTTAAACAATGTGGAGTGGAAAGCTTGTATTGTGGTCAATCTTCAGACCCGTTCCAATGTATATATATGAAAGGGAGAAACGCATGACTTGTCAAATCTGCCTCAGAATGTTCTTTTACGGCTACTAACACAGAATAATTGAACATTCCGCATGTTGAACGGAGTACTTCCTCTCCAACTTGAGCTATAAAAATAGTATTTTGGTCCGCCATCTCATATTCTACACTTCTAAATGCAGTTGTGTCGAGACCTCACACATATAGTACATCAAATGCCTTGAACGCCATCTCCCAGATATACCACAGTGTAGTTTCCTCCGCCTCATATCTTATGCAGAGTGAATTTTTTTATATCTCTAATTCCTCTCAAGCTTTGAAGCCGAGTTACCAGATAAAGCTGCAAGATCCGCCACAACACTCCAATCAATGACATTCCACCAATTTTCAACATAAACCTTCTTTCCTCCTACATCATCAGTTCCCATTCCATAATCGGCAATCCAAACGTGTTCCCATGTATTGACGCAAAGAATGGGTGTGACTTCAATTCCTCCCGGTGGTTTCCTCTCTTTGCTTAAATGTCCATGTGCTCCTACTGTGTTTACAGGTGGTGCCGCCAACTTCTGTCTGTAAAAGTCCGTCACACTTTCACTTTCGGTATTCATATCCTTTGGTTGTCTTCTATGATGTGCACCAGGAAATGGTGAGCCCGCTAAATATGTAGTCATTAAGGAAAGTCGATCGAATCTATCCTTCATTAACCAGACGAATCCGGGTCCAAACATTTTACTAGCTGTGATGACGAATTCTCTTTTGAGTCCATCGACTGAGGAAAAAGAGTTCTCGATGGCGGCTCGGAGTTTCTCTGACATGACTGGTTCGCTAGCTGGATTGGGCTGGAGGCAGTTGAAAAAGAAGTTGTTATTGAATGCCATGGAAGCATAGTTGAAAGTTGCCGCCTGGTCTGGATCTCGCGCACACATAAGAGCGATTTCTTTAGGTTGTCTTCCATCGAGATGGGGTACTCCTTTAAAATTGTCAGTTACAGGTTGTCTTGTAAGGAATGTAGCAGCAGTTATAAGTTGTGTCGTGGGATACGCAGTTTGAGAGGGAACCACGCAATTTGTATTTCCAGATAACAAAACTCTCTCGCAGACTGAATGCCTTAACTACCAATTGCAAAATAGTCCAAATAATAAGAAATAACCCACCAGCTATAGCATCACTCAATTTGTCCACCATGAGTTTTTGATATGAAGTCCATGACAGCTCGAAAGCTTGAGGTCCAATGAATTCAGGAATGCCATTTGTGAAATCATGTTTCAATGGCGGTACATGCTGAGAAATACTCCTGAAGAAGTTCTTCTGCACAGAGCGCCCTATCCTAGGGAAGCGCGAGCGAAACATATTTGGAGGGGTGATGGACTTTCAAATCTCGACGAGATATTTCGCGATCCAAAAAATTGTATGGAGGTCCGCAAAGTCCGCAATTTTGTGAGTGCCTTAGGCTTCAGTATTTCTTTGATGAACACATGGATGCTCAGCCGAAGGGGAATCTTGATGAAGCGGCCAACTCCGCTGTCCTATCGTTGTTGATGCGGGGAGAACTAAAACATTTCATTGCATTATATGTCACAATATTATATTCACTAGTTGCGTTGTTGAGAATGAACGGTCAAATTAGTTTTTGGAAGTCTATTACTTCGATTTTACACCCCCCTTGATTGACACAGGAAGTGAGATTTGTCAGTGAATTTATGTGTTGTTTGAGCTAAGTATGAATAACATGGAGTACAATAAGGCAGTAGAAGAATTCAGGAAGCATGAATATCCCATGCTCAAAGGTAAGTTTTCTCCCAAATATATATATGCCAAGCTGATAGAATTTCCAGATGCCGTCTACCTTGATCATGCCGGTACGACCCTCTACTCGAAGTCCCTCATGGAGAGATATATGGTGGATATGATGTCGAATTTATATGGGAATCCACATTCCGCCTCTACATCCTCGCAGTTGTCGACTTCGCGCATCGAGAATACCCGTCTGAATGTTTTACGATTCTTTAATGCCGACCCAGAAGACTTTGATGTGGTGTTTGTGGCGAATGCTACGGCTGGAATCAAACTTGTTATGGACGCATTCAGGAGCCAAGAAGATGGATTTTTGTATGGGTACCACCAAGATTCGCATACTAGTCTCGTTGGAATGCGAGAAGAAGCCGTGTCAAGTCGATGTCTTGATGATGATGTCGTGGAGTGTTGGCTATCTGGGTCAGAAGCTCTTGTCAGAAAGGAACATGATTCTGAGATTGGCCTTTTCGCATATCCAGCACAATCAAACTTAGATGGTCGACGTCTACCACTGTCTTGGCCAGAGAGAGTCCGAAATCTTAGTGATGAAACCCAGGCAACTACATATACATTACTAGATGCCTCTGCTCTAGTTTCTACTTCTCCACTAGACTTAAGTGATGCTAGTAAGGCACCAGATTTTACGGTCCTTAGTTTCTACAAGATATTTGGATTCCCCGATCTCGGTGCCTTGATAGTTCGTAGAGATTCTGGAGCGATACTTCAAACCAGAAAATATTTTGGAGGTGGAACTGTCGAAGTGGTAGTGTGTCTGAAAGAGCAGTGGCATGCTTCGAAAGGGCAGTCCTTGCATGAAACTTTAGAGGATGGTACTCTGCCGTTCCATAATATCATGGCACTGGAAGCAGCAATATATGTTCACAAATCATTGTATGGTTCCATGGAACGTATTGCAAATCACACCACATTTCTCGCACGAAAATTGTACGAAGGTCTAAAATCATTACGGCATGCTAACTCTGAACCGGCCTGTATAATCTATTCCCCTGGCTTCTCCTCCGAAACCTCCTCCAATGTACAAGGACCTACAATAGCGTTCAACGTCAAGAACAGTTTCGGAGCGTGGGTAACTAATGTTGAGTTTGAGAGGTTGGCTTCGATAAGGAACTACCACATTCGAACAGGTGGTCTTTGTAATCCTGGTGGTGTTGCATCAGCACTGGAGCTTCAACCATGGGAAACAAAAAGAAATTTCTCGGCTGGTCTCCGATGTGGTGGAGAGACCGATATTTATGCGGGCAAAATAACGGGGGTCATTCGCGTGAGCTTAGGAGCCATGAGTACGATGAGCGATGTTGAGTCTTTTCTTTCATTTGTGGATGAATTCTTTGTGGACCACACAGCTGTATCCACTGATGAGGAAACCGAAAGTCACAAATCGGTTGACATGTATGTCGAAAGTCTTACAATTTATCCAATTAAAAGTTGTGGTGGCTTTGAGATCCCGAAGGAAACTGCTTGGGAAGTTAGGCCCGAAGGTCTTTCTTGGGATAGGGAATGGTGCCTGATTCATCAAGGCACTGGGCAAGCATTAAGTCAAAAACGTTATCCTCGAATGGCTCTCATCAAACCAACAATCGACTTTGATTTGGGATTGCTGAAGGTTCGATATCAAGGATCAACCTTCCCTAATTTGACGGATGAAATCAACGTCTCTTTATCATCTGACCCGTCATTTTACAAAAATCCAAATAATATTCATTCATTATCATCAAGGGTCTGCGGAGATGCCATCGCGGCACAGACTTACTCTAATCATGAAATTAATGATTTTTTCTCCAAGATTCTAGAAGTACCTTGTGTTCTGGCAAGATTTCCTGCTGGCGGTAGTGGTCCTTCGTCGAGACATGCAAAGGCGCACATGCAAAAGCATCAAGGACCAAAACGTTCGGTCGTGATTGAAAAATCGAGTACTCACTTCTTTCACGATCCCCCAACACCACCGGATTCTGATAGTGAGAATCGAAAACGTCCAATTCTTCTATCGAATGAAAGTCCCATACTTGCCATTAATCGATCCAGTATCAATATGCTAAACGAAGAAATAGCCAAGAGTGGCGGTAAACTTGCTTCAGCCTCGGTCTTTCGAGGAAATATTGTACTAGCATCAATTGAATTGACTGATAGCCATCATCCATATAGTGAAGACCATTGGAGTACTTTACACATTGGTTCAGAAAAGTATCAAATGTTAGGATCTTGTAGGCGTTGTCATATGATATGTGTTGATCAGGATACTGCTGAAAAGAACGAAGAACCCTTTGTTACGTTGGCAAAGACACGAAGGTTCGAATCTAAGGTTTTCTTTGGTTCTCATATGTGTCATGTTCCTTCGTTGTCACCTCATAAAGAACATCAATTTCCAGTCATCAAGGTGGGAGACAAGGTTTCTATTGGGCTATGAGGGAAAGACGATGTACAATAGAATCAAGAAGTATTTGTTCATAAGTCTTATTATTCTTTTTGTTCCATCGAGCTTCTCTGCTCTGCTTATATTGGTGATGACGTTATGTGGCTTCCATTAACTAACGATGATGATGATGATTTTCTTCTGGCGTCCGTATAGGGTGAAGCATCCTAAGACACATAGGTATATGGTAGACCATACCTGAATTATTAGCCCTCGTTTCAAACTTCTCGAATGATCGCCGGAGGAAAAGAAAATCGAGTTGCTAATAGAATTTGATGGTTAACTCTGCCAATTATAAAGGTATCAGACCTCAGGAAGAGAAGGCGCAAACCACCCAAAAGCTTGACAATCATACTATACAAGAAGGTATATCTATTCGCACTTTCATCTTGACTTTCGTCTTAAAAACCACCTTCATCGCATTTGAAAGTTGGGAACGATCAAAAGGTTACTAGCTATCTAGTAGTCTGGACTACGAGCCTAGCCGAAATCTATCTACGTAGTAGTTCGTCCCACACACACTCACACATTTAACGAACTCACAGGACAGATATTCTATTTCGTTAAAGTTTTCAAACCATTTTAGAATTGATAATTGCTTTCATCTTCGCATCTTCAGAGGAGAGTCATACACATTGATTTAAGAGACAACATATTCACTATTTCGCTGACTTTACATCTTACAAACATCATTTTCGGAAAGCATGACCGAAATATCGGACTCTGAGCTTGATAGCTCAAATGAAAACCAGATTGGGAACACTTCTGATCACGAGAACTTCGATGATTCTAATATCTTTGATAGTGATCAAGGAGAAGAAGAAGAAGAAGACTACGGCGCTTTTCAAGACTTCGATGATTTCTCCGACAACCAGGACAATCAAGACAATCAGGATTTCGCTCCTTCCCCCTCAAGAGAAACAAATGTTGAAGGGCTGATAATGAATACCCCGGATATTGAGCTCGCAGAAGATGGAACACCTCTCGTGTTCCTTGAAAAATTCAAAGAGTTTCCCGTAGAAATTCAAATGGGTATTTGGCGCTTTAGTGCTCTTCAAGCCAGGCGTACCATCGTTATGAATTTGCGACAAGATACTTTCGAATTTGAAAATTATCCTTCTACGCCAGCTTTTATGCACGTATGTCAGCGAGCACGAAAATATGGCAGGAAATACTTCTATGCTGTTGACGAGAAGGGAGTCCCGCATAATTTCACCGACCCCCAAAAGGTTAACAAGCCTTATTTCTATGTCAACCCCATCAGCGACGACTTTATCTTGAGATTCGGAGATGAGGCATCTCGTTCTTCGCCGGCTTATTGTCCCATACAGTTTGGTTCGGAGTACATGCAACAGGAATTGAAAGTGGAGGAAAGAAAACTTTATGATATCGACGAGGAAGAGGAAAGGGCTCGGTATAATGTACGCATTCACCATACTCTCTCTTGATTCCTTTGGCTGATGACTACATAGGCGAGAACAATCCGAATAAATGCTCCTGTACCTGCCCATGTAAATGCTCCTGTCGTAAACACCCACATATTAGGTGGGAACATGATGATTCAACACATTCAACATAATCCCGCTGCGAATGCAGGCGTAGCACGTCCCGCTCTCCCTCGTCCCGGCGAGCCAGTTTTCCCTCTTGCGTCAGTACTCCCTCACTTCTTCGACAATATTCGATCGGTTGGTATCAACCTCTCAATTAGTTTCTCAGGATATGTCGGCTTTGAAGAAATGACCGCTGCGCAACTCCAACAATGGACCGAAGATAATGTCAAAGAAAAATTCGACAACGTATTCAAGAAAATTTTGGATCGTTTTCCTCATCTCGAACATATTTTTGTGGTAGTGAGAGCATATGGGAGAAGTAATCGGTGTGAATCAGATCGGGGTCTCCCACGTGAGCTTGAGAAGAAGAATTGGACGAGTGTGGGCATGGAAAAGGGAACAGCGAGATGTATGGGATATAGAGAGTTTAAACAGTTTGAGAATCAGGCGAAGGTTTGGTTAATGCATGAGAGGATTGATAGGGGACTGCAGTTGAATAGCATCGATTTTGGATTGTATGTTCAGACAAACATTTTGTGGGAGATTTAGGGAGGAGGGGGAATCTGAGGGAGTAAGGATTCTAGTTTACATGTGGGTTTGTTCCTGAAAGATACCATGAGTATGAGAAGCTGAAGATTGAACTGTCGCTATCGCTTGTTAACAGCTTATCAAAGACTTCACGATGTCTCTCGATATAAGCTCACTGGACTCATCATCTCATCGACTTATCGTCTCATCGTCCCCGATTCTCTACTTGCGAATTTCATTTCACATGTTACTTGTCTACTTTTCTATTTAAACCAGGGTTTACACGAAAATCATTACGGCGCATTTGAGGAAGGGAGAAAATGGCATAACATATCAGGAGGAGAACCAAACATCTGAAGTTCTACATCTGCAAGAAAGGTTATGGGTATCTAGACTTATCATCTCATGGTTCTGGGTTCTCTACTTTCTAAACTTCTTTCGATATGTTATTTGTTTCCTTATTTACTCGCATCAGGTTCTAGGCAAAAGTTATCACGGCGCACATAGGGAAGGGAAAACAGGCATACCGTATAAGGAAACAAATATCTGGAGTTCCGAGTTCACATATGGAGTTCTACATCTAAAAAACGGATATGGATATCGAAGCTCTCTTCAATTGTGCTACCGACCGATGAGTTACAGGAATTTCATCACATTTGGGATAGGTTTGCCGGTAGTTAAGGTCATTGAGATACTGTTAGTAATGGACATTAAAGTAAAATAAGTTGAAGTGGTTTTTATCAGTGCGTGGTAAGGTGATGTGAGGTGATATGATATGATGCGGTGTAGAGTGAGGAGTGTGTTAGGACGTAGAATGTATGATGTGAGTGAAGATGTATGGTTCGTGTTCGTTCATGTCCATGTTTAGTGAGGTTCTCTACATCAGTATTCTAGAATTGTCAAATCTTCGGCTAGGTTTGATGTGTGTATCTGTAGACAAAGGGAACGGATGAAAAGATGGAGGTAATGGAAGGGGCCCTGCTAAGTTAATAAGGATTCGCTAAAGCCCAAAATACAAAGCACATTAGATACGTAGGTATGGGATCTTTCGATGGTGGTGAGAGTATTTGCTTTTATTGAGAAATAAATTTATTCGTATAAAACGAACCAAAGAATATTACTACATATAAATTCGTGCCCCATCCACCATAGATACACAATCCTCCAATTGAGATACCCCTCACTGTCTCTTCTTCGAAACCGATCTCGTTACATGCCCACTTCCACTCCTCTGTTTCTTGTCCGACTCCTTCTTCTCCTGCTCTTCCTTCTCAAACTTCTCCGCCTCATCTTGATCCTTACGCTCCGCATACCATTGGCCGGCTTGCAAAACCAACACGCCCACCAAAACCAAAGCTAAAATCGTGTTGCTAGCAGCCAAAACTCTCAAACTATCTTCTCTCCCCACGCCTGCTTCTCCTTCTGGCGCACCAGCCTCGCCATATAATCCGAGTGTTACAATGCGCATACCCTTGACAATATTGGTGATGTAAACCACGACGCCGACGACGTAGAGAACGAGTGATGCGCCATCGAATAGAAGATTAGCTTCCGAAGGCTTGAAGAGCTTAATGAAGAGTCCGATAAATCCAACTGAGACGACAATGTGGAGGATACGTGGAATGATAGGTGGAGAAGCGTGCATGAATTTCAAATGCCCTTCGATAAAGGTATAGTAGGCATCAGGAGTACTCTCGGTGGTCCAGAGAAGAGGATAATCGTAAGGGAACGAGGAAAAGAGAATCCCAAGGAAGAAGCATACAGCTGTGATGTGTCAATTGGGGTGTTATTCAATCGAGCATTATGGGGAAAACTTACGACCGATGATCATAAAGGTCGCGAATGAACTCGCGCCTCCTTGACCTCGAGGTTTATCGTACGTCTTGAAGATTGAGACTTTCGAGGTATCCATTTTGTGTATGTGAGTGTGCTGTGCGCTGCTGAGGGGTTTGAGGAGTTGCAGAATTGACGCGGATGGTTTCTCGGATGATTTTGAATTGTGCGAATGTTCCACGGATAGTAATGGCAATGGTAATAATCGTCTTATCTGTTTAGGTGGGCTGGGCTTAGCTACGGTATATACAATAGTGGGGTGATGAAGTGGTTAATGAGCACCTAGTAACCTTCAATTGAAACTTGACTTGTACATCAGATGAGAGATGTGATCTAGAACTCACGAGTGAAAGAATGAATGCATATGAATGCGACGACGATAGATGGTTGAATTTATACAAAGATATCAAGTCAGAAAGAAACTATCGACAAAATTGAAGATAACACATATACTAGGTAGATATAGGTAAACTTGTAAGATTCTTAATACAATTTATGATAAATTACAATTGCGCTCAATCTCTGGTAATCTCTGGTAATCTCATGTTGAGACTAGGTAGGATAAAGAAGCCGCTAAGATGATTTGGGGTGTCCTGTACGGGTGTACGATTGAATTCCGATGTTCCGGCCAATTTTGACATTTTTCGCTCTCGGTACGAAGGAATAATACCTACGTAGGTATATATACACGTCGAATAGAGTTAATAAAGTCCACAGACTGAACTTTCTTTGTATTGGTTAGGGATCGTCTTGGTATGACGGATGAGGAGGTAATGTCATGAAAATTCAATCAGGAAAAAGAGCTCTTTCTCGAGGTACAAGTATCAAAGAAGATTCTTCAATCTCCGTCCATTGCATTTAATCATCCATTACTTTCAGAATCTCTTCATATATCTTCTATTTCTATACTCACCAAACTATCTCTCCATTATGACGGACATGTCCGTCTACCTCTTCTGGTTTCTAGTCTTTCTTATTATATGTTTACTCTTCATCATTGTGCTTCTCATTCAGAATCACGTTGATGAAAAAAGTCTCATTGCTACACCTTCCATCAACAAAGACGATGCCATCCTTACAACCTATGCAAGTGTCAGGATCAATGCCTCTGCAGACGACGTTTTCCGTGTAATAACCTCTTTCAAAAAATACGGAAATGGACATTCTCAATATGAATTTGAGCATGACCAGGAAAAAATGCCAGCCGTGGGCGCTAGGGGGGTGTATACCGTGAGATACTCCTCATTGTGTAGAAAGTTGTATTAAATCTAATTTAAAGTCCAGTTTCGGGTCGAAGATATACGGGATCGCCGTGTACCTGTTATGTTAACCGTGCTGGATCCAGCGCACAGAAAGGTGGTCGCGAAGACCACTCAATACCCCTATTGGCTTTTGGGCTCAGAGAGAGTCCAGGAAGTGGTGGCTGTGAAAGGCAAAACGAATGTTTGTGAGTATAGGACTTGGTCGACCCTTCAAGGAATTGCAGCATATTATCCTTTGTTGACGGCAAAGGAAGAGATGGAGGACGTTGTCAGAGATGCGGCTACAGAATTAAAAATGTTTATCGAGTCGCGGAATCGCAAAGCTTAACCTTTGAATTTGTAGCAAGAATGCTCGTGTTGGGGGTCAATTGACGGGAGGCGAACATCCGGGGATATCCGTGCTCGCTGGCAAAAGCTCGTCAAATCACGGAGAGAAGCACTAAAGAGGATATGTGCATCAATGGGCCCAGGATTAGGAGATGTACTTGTCTCTTACGAACCACGACAGAATGTGATTTTTGAGGACAAGTCGTCCCAAACCTGTTAATATGCAGACGGCAAACTTCTTCGGATTACAACGATTTCTAAGGGCTCACGAATGAGATATTTGACTTTGTCGATTTCCCGAATACATGGGCTTGCAAAGCAGACCTTGTCAACACATACATGCTATCAATCATAACGAAACGTGCTTAAAGGGATTGAAAAGAAGAATTCAGTGGATATTAAAGGAACTACTTGTCTTCGCCCATTACTGTCACCGTATCTAGCTCTATTCAAGCTTTACACACCCGTCCGCATCTCGCCACAACAACATCAGAATCATACAATTCTCTCTTCTGTATGGTGAGCAGCTACCTTCTCGTCCAAACCACCATTACTAGTCTCTGTACCAAGCTGCAGATCATGTTCCGCGGCAATAACTCTTGCCTTCTCGGTCGCAGCTTGACCGCCAACGAGCGCATTGTCTCCATCGAAATGTTTCACAATTTCTTCCAACGGGGTATTTCGTGTCTCGATATAAAATTTCCAGACAATAAAAAGCTCAAAGGTCAACCATACGCAGTAGAATATGTAGTACTTCCAGTGAAGACTATCCAATGCGATTGGGTTGACATATTGGTTGAAGAATAACGAGAGGTCGACGGCCAAGAACATGACGGTCATTCCCTATAATTTTGATTAGCAACGCCAGCAAAGAGCAGGGAAATTCATTACCTTTGCACGGATATTGTATGGCAAGATCTCAACACTGTAGCCAACCAAAAGACCTGACCACGCACAATTGTAGAAGACGTAGTAAAGGAAGATCATGACGACTACCGCATTTGCAGAAGCTGTGCTTCCGTGCATCGAAAACTGAGCCGAGCATATTGTCCAAACGATGAAGACACCAAGCATTCCTGCTGTGGAAACCAAGAACAATAGACGTCGACCAAGTCGATCGACAAAAAAGCACATTCCTGTGGCCACAATCATGTTGACGATCTGAAGGATACCGTTGATCAAAAGTTTGGTAGTTGAGCTCTTGATACCGATTTGTTCCAGTACAATGTTAATGTAGTAACTAAATATGATGTTAATATTCATTCTCAAATATTCTTTGACTGGTACCAACTCACCTGACAAGACCATTTCCTGACCATTGGGAGAAGAAACCAAGAGATACAAGAATGATAAGACGATGTCTGTTTCCTGGAGTCTTCCAGAGCTCGGCCCATGGGTTTCCCTCTACTTCTTTCTCAAGTAATAGTGTTTGGCGAATTTCCTGGTATTCGAGCTGCACAACTTCGTCGTTTTGGTCTCCAGAAGCATGTACGTCTGCCAAGATCTTGAGTGCTTGCTCATTTCTGCCTTTTGCAATAAGCCATCTTGGTGATTCGGGCACAAACCTTGACCTGCATTAGCTTCTTCTTCCCAAATTAA